GCAGCCGATGACGGCCAGAACCAGAAACATGTTGCGGCACATGAGGGTGAAGCGCATGAAGATAGCAGCGTCCAAGCCCACCATGCGGATTAGGTCCTGCTCGTTGGTCTTCCACAGCGGGCCGACCCATGCAAAGACGCCCTTGCCCATGGGCGGTGGGACGTGCTGCTCGTCGGCATGCTTGAGCTTGGGGGCATAGACGACGGTGTGGTATGGGCGGATAAGGGAGAAGAGGAGGGCGATGCCGGCAGTGACGCCGAAGGATGTACCAACGGAGGCCCAAATGGAACCGACCTGCAGCTGTGAGCCAAATGGGTTTTGGAGCAGCAGCAGCAGCTCGTCGGCGGCGCTTGTTGGCGTTGCTGTTACTTCTCGACCGAAGACGAGTGGTAATGTCTTTGTTGCTACATCCATTGTGTATGTGAGTGTTCTTTCGTCGCAGCGTCAGCCGAAAAGGCGACGAGAGGTGTCCGACAAAAAAATAGTGCGGAGGTGAAAGAGTGACAGGGAGGCCGGGCGGCAGGATAGTCAGGCGGTTCGGAAGGTCCCTGATTTCTTGTGTGGGTTTTCTATCACAGCCACGAAGTATATATTGGGGTTGGTTTCAGTGTATTGTTGGCCTCTCAAGGGAACGGGTGAATCAGAACCGGCTGATATAGACCTGTTGTAGAGGGCGGGAAGAAGGGCTCGGCGGCTGCAATTGTCGACAGTTCGTTGGATAGTTCGTTGGAAGGGTATTGACGTCAACAATGCAAACTCGGGGAATACGGGAGGGCGGCAACTAATAAAGTCGACGTTGGGACGCGGCTGTGAGCGTTGACGCCGGGGCTTCAGGGGTCGCGAAGTACAAACAAAGAGATGAAGAGATGACGGCTGCTTGCGAGAGACCGGTGACTGTTGGTTCCTGGCGCTGTTTTGAGACAAGACGAAAAAGAAAGACAAAAGGTCACAGGAAACAAAATGTCGTCGAACAAAGGAGCAGCAAGCGAACGGATCTCCAAATCGACGGAAGAAGAAACGAGCGCACACCACAGTAACAAAACAAGGTTGCCTGCAGGCCAGGTCGTGGTGACTGTCGTGATCGAAGCGAAGGACAGACGGGAGGAGATGGGCGATGCCGTGTTCTCTGGGACGTTCCCCTTTGCCTCAACTCACAGGGCGACACAGTACGATTGAGCCGTGGTGATGTGACGCGGGCTTGCGAGAGGAATGATTTTGGAAGAAGGCTGGCGTCCGTACCAACAGCCTGTCGAAGAATGGGGGGAGTGATCGTCGCGAGGTTCGCTGATCAGTTGAGGGTCGGCTCAGGCTGCTAATCGGACAAAGAGAGGCCACAGAAAAGGGGCTTCGAGTGTGATGCCGAAAGCAAAGCGAGTGACGAAAGAGCAAGAAACGAGAGAACAAAAGAAGAGACGACAAAGACACGAAAAAAAAAGAGGCCCAAAAGCGAGCGGCAGATCGAGAGGTCGATACGAGAACGAGTGAATCGCGGAGAAATCCAAATCGATAAAAAGTACAAAATGGCTGATGCCCAGAGTGATCAGCAGAAACAGAACAAGGACAAAACGGGAAAGGCACGCCAAAGAAAACTGGAAACGCAACGTCTTCCTTTTCCCGCGCATACTGTGGTGGTGTGGATGGGCCGACCGAAGCGAGGCGAGGCGATGTGATGCAGGGGTGGTGGGTAGACAAATGCAAGGGAATGCTGCACAGATGGCGAAAATGCTAGGGTATCTGGGCATTTCTTCTGTTGACGTGGAAAGGCCTGGATGCACTGTGAGGGAAAAAAGTGGACCAAAAAGGCCCCGGAGGCAGGGAGTGGATGGCACCTGCCCGCGTCAACGGCTGTGGGAAAGAGTGGAAAGGGCACAATCCAGAACATCTGGAAGGGTCGACCGACCGGCAAGTCGACCGTTGTTGCGTTTTCTTTCTTTCCTTTTTTTATTGCATCTAGACTACTCCACTTTACAAAAAAGTTCTACGAAGCGCGGAGGACTCCGTGCCTTGTATCGATATTGGAATACTTGACCACTACGACGCATGTGTACGCGCGAGAGCATACGCGGTACACGCGCCGGTTGTTTCGGTGCGCGTTAGGCTCACGTCCGATGCTGTGTCGTGTGCTTTGTCCCTGAACGTGTAAAAGGGGCAGAAGGAAGTAGCACAGACTAGGACGGCAATTCCTGGCAGTCCATGGAAAGAGCCACCGTTTGGCTACTGCCGCACTATTGCACTAAACACAGTAGCCTACAGGTACCTGAATCTCTGGACGCTAGGCGACCCGCAGAACAAAAACTGCTAGCGGCCTTGTCTCAAAGTTGCCCTGGAGCCTGGCAGCACACCCCCTGGACCAACGTTGAGAACGAACGAAGCCCACCCGACGTGTTTTTCTTCGTATTCGCCAGGGGGGCGGGAGTGAAAGGAGGGCAGAAGTGGGGTGGCGTTGGAACTGGAACTGGAAAGAACTGGGGGTTGGCTGCGCTTGTCCATGCACTTTGTTACACTGAATGAAAAGCTCTGCAAAAATCATGTCAAGTGCCCCAATAAAGTTTCTATTTTTGCCATCCACCATTCCAACGGCGGCCTGTGCCCGGTTTGCCCCTGGCAGACATTCACGGTCTGGCCAAAGTAAGACGGACCCTGATTGTTTTATTTTGGCCTTTGCCAGTATTTCGTAAATGGCCACGAATACAGCCCGTCCAGCGGATGGGAACACTTGTGAGGGGCCGTTTTTCCACGTCAACAAAAGCCCACATAAGCCCACATCAGCCCACGTCAGTGGTGAAGATACTGCTAAAGCATAGAGGTTGGCGTATGTCTTGTCACCAGCAGACGACAGATGAAACTCGAAACCGGCCGAGCCAGCTTGTCCTGTGACTTCACAGCTTTTGCGCCATCCCACCCCCGGCAAGCAGGGACAGCCTGGCTTAACAATGCGGGCCGGATACGAGGAAATGTCAAAAAGAGGCCTCTTGTCGCGATAGGAAACGCTACCGGAGTCATGCTCCATGTTCAAGACAAGCTTGTTTTGTCCTCCAGACCCGAGAGTCGTGGACTTTCCAAACGGCAAAGGTCAAAGCATCTGCCAACCGTCGTATCCAAAACGCACTGACGCAAAAGAGGCATCAACTCGACTGGAGGGTAGACAATTGTCGCGATTTGCGGGCCACGCGGATGTGCTGGTGCATCACGAGCTTGGGTTGTCTTACTCTTTGGGACAACGGTGACCTCGCGAACTAGTGGGCGACAGGTCATCTGGTTCAACCTCCCATTTGTGGAGGCTCCATGCCGTGTGATGTTGGCTTGACTTCGAGATCTATTTGCTTTTGTTCTTGTTGCAGTTGTTGTTCCTGCTTCCGTCATCCTAGTCTTATTCCTGGTGATCCTGTTCTTGGGCCGCATCGATATGCTTATCTCTTCCACGTGCCGTACTACCTCAGAGTTCAAACAAAGAGATAAATATAGCAGCTTGCTTTTTACGAAGGAACGTGCAGATGAAATGAACCTGCATCGCATCGCTGGTTGGCAATTGCTGGCAAATCAAATTAAACTAAAGCCAAGGGAAGCAGAGCAAAGGAACAAAAACACAAAGGGGATTGGCACGCATTGCACACACGCAAAACATGCATGCAGCGATCCCTCCGTCTTAGTGTCCCGTTTGGCTCTGAATACGAGGGTTGTTGTTCTTGTCTTGGCAACAGGCGACAAGGGTCGCTCATGGGTGTGCTTCCGCATGGCAGTTTCCGCCCAATTGACCATTTGGTGACATATACCTTTCTAGAGGCCATCGGAAGGGAGCAAAGCACAGCCCTCCTAACCTTGCATAACATCATTTCATCGCAATTTTTGTTAGTCGCATTGGCGGTCCTTTCGCTGCGTTTGTTTTCAAACGAAAGGGTTTCCATGCTTCGAAGCTGTAAACTGCAGCTCGCCAAAAGAGTTGGAAAAGCGCCAATACAGATCTAGAGCGACCATGTATTATCGCACACCCTTAACGAGCAAGGCAATGGAAAATGTTGGCGTTGTTGGCATGTCCAAAACAAGGCATAACATGTAACTGGGATTCGGCTGCAACGTATAAAAGGGCGTACACAGGAAAACATGAGAGCTCTCGGCTTAGCCGTGAGGGAGAGGCTGAGCCACTGTTTCCCGTTAATGCTTTGCACTTTTCGATATTTTACGAGCTCAATGCTACGTTTCCTTGGGAAAATCTAGGAGAGGCGTCGTCGAAGGAGTTGCCAGACGAAGGGATGGAACATTTATGTCTTTGAAGAAGGGAGAATCATTTTTTAAAACCAAACACTGACTTCAAGAAGAAAAAAAATACAGTAAAACATAGACAAATTTAAACAATAGCGAAATAGGAAATACAGCTGGTTTCTATTTATTTGGATTTCTTAAAATGATAATAACGACACTGCTTACAAAACAGAAGATAAAATATGAACTCAATAGAATAAAAAAAGACAAAAAAATATTGGTCTGAGACAGTAATTAAATAACAATACGCAGAACTCATAAGACGCAAAGACCTAGCACGATGCATATTCAAATAATGTCATGAAAGAATTAGAGTAAAACGATGCATAAATATCATACGCGTAGTTGCAACTGGAGTTTCCTCAATCCAAAGGTACCGTTTTCTCCCTTTTGTTTTTCCAAAATACAACCTTGCCACCAATACTTACCTCCCCCAGATAGAGGACGCAGGAAAAGAAACGTGCAAAGGAAACCACATAAAGACGTAAACACGCATGTGCATAGGCCCACGATCCCTTCTATAAGGAGAGCACCGGATCCGACATGATCCCCTGGTTTTCTTGGGGATATATCTCCGGCCTCTCGTATTTTAATGAGTTGTTTTTGTTGGTTTTTGTCGAGCTTTTAATAATTTCACTGTGCCGTCGGGTTCATATATCTGCCCGGAAAGAACCCACCCCTACATTACATATACAAAATGCTGAAAAACGGATTTTGCTCACGCCGTGTCGACGCGGGACCTACGCTGGTCCTTGGCTGCGCGTCTTGCGTGCCGTTTTACCAACAGGCGGAAGCGGCTTCTTCTCGCGCTTGGCGCGGCTGTTGCTCTTTTTGACGCCGAGGGCCGTTGTTGAGGTCGACGCGATTTCGTCGGCCGAGGGAGCCGGCCCGAGGTTCACTTCGAGAGCAGGCGCCACGCCAGCAGGTGCGCCCACAGGGGCTGTGATGGGGTCGGCAGCGGGGGTCGCGACGGTGACGGGCGAGGGCGCAGGGACCTCGACGGGCGGCGCAGCCGGAGTGGACGTGGGCGCCGCATCGGCAGCCGTTGCCGTCTCGGCCTTGGTGTCGGTCTTGAGCTTCTTGGCGGCGGATGCGCCGTCCTCGCTGTCATCGGCAGACTCGACGGTGGCGGCAAGCGGTTTGGCGGGGAGTGACGATGAAATAGCCGCGGAGCCGCCAAAGAGGGAGCTGACGGGTGCGGGAGCAGATGCTTCGGGAGCCGCTGCTGCGGACTTGTCGTCGGCCGCTTCGTCGGCCTTGCGCTTCTCACCAACGATAGCATTGCCGGATGTGACAGATTCAGCGGGCGCAACTGCCTGAGAAGGCGCAGACGGCTCTGCTGGCTTGGGGGGGAGGCCGGATGGCAAGGACGGCACCGCGCTGCCATTAGTGGTGGGCGCCGTCGGCGCGATGAGCGTCACGGAGGGGGCCGAGGCGGTGGGGACGCTGCTGGTTGCAGTAGGTTCTGATGGTCCCGGCTTCTCTGCTGGCGCCTCATCAATTAATGGTAGGGGTGCAGTGGTAGGCTTGTTGTCGCTGCTGCCGTTGCCGCCACCGGAGGCGCTGTGGAACGTGTCGATGCCGCCGTTGGCCTCACTCACGGGCGTGACGGGCTTGGCAAAATCGGTACTGTCCTTTTTATCGGTAACCGCGGTGCTTCCATTAAAAAGTCCACCGCCGACCGAGCTGGAGGGTGAGTCATCCTTCTTAGCAGCGGCATTGCTGTCGGGGTTCAGGGCACCGGAAGCATTGTTCCCAGTCGTGGAGCCTTCGACAAAGACTGGCTTTGGGGGCAAACTGAGGTCGGGCAGGCTGGACAGCTTGGCAGTCTCCAGGGAAGGCTTGGAAGCACTGTTGTTGGTAGGACGTTCCGAGGAGTCTATTGGAAATAGAAAGAAATTTCACGTTAGTTCGTCTGAAGAGCATGCAATGTCGGTGGAAAGCAACCTCCATTCGATGCGGCGTGGTGTAAGAGCTCTGGTGGATTGAATCTGTTGTTCCCCGTTTCATTCGACCAATGACAAGGCGAGAAACCAAGTAGCTTGGCAGATTTGCGACCAACGGGCGATCTAGGCCGGGCCATTCTGGCGACAAGCAATGCAACGGACAAGATGGCAGCAAAATGGCAAGAAAAGGACAAGATGACAAACAACTAGAGACTAAAATGGATGCTAGAGCACAAGACAGATACCGTGATGCCGCTGCGCAGCGCTGGGTGGAAAGGGCGCATACCTGAGTTGCCCACGGGCGCGGAAGAGAAGTCGGCCATTGCGATAACGTAATCGGATATGAAAGCACACAGACACCGGATGCACGAAAGCGAGCGAGTATTAGACGAGACGCAGAACGAAAGAATGCGGGTGCAATGCGAATTGGGCGTGTTGATGATGTCTGGGATGTTGCTGGTTGGCAGTAGGAGGGAAAGAAGAGAAGGAGAGAAGATTGGGATGGGCGGTGGAAGGAATCGAGAAAAAGAATAGGAAGGGAAAGTGCGACGAGCAAGGAGGAGAGGTTCTTGCCCTACCCGCCGGCAGGTTTGGGGACAAACAGCTGTACGGGGGTATGGCGAGCTAGGCCTAGCGGGAGGCGGGGAACGGGATGCAATGAGAGAAGGAGCGACTGAGGGAAGCTGAACTCCGGTGGGCAGCACGGCAGAATGGCCAAACGTTTAACGGCACAGTGTCAGCTATGGCGTAAAGGGGTGGATGGTAGCAGCCCATTGGAGCCTTTTGGTTCTCATTAGAAAGGACCAGAACCGGGGACACCGTGGGAGGGGCTGCTGTCGCGAGTTGTTTTCCCAGCGTGGATGCTGAAAGAAGGACACTCGGACATTACAAACTACGGTTGCAGAAGAACCGCAAGAGGAAAGGCTGCATCGGCACGACAGGCGACAAGGTGCGCAGTACGCCGTATATATGGACGGTGATTGGGCAATTCGCCATGGAAAGATGACGCACTGCTTGTTGAACAGGCGAAACAATGAAGACGAAGAAACCAGGAAGACGGAGGAAGACAGACAATGGAAGGGGAACAAGGCGCTGAGGTGGTGAAGTGGAGACAATGAAGCCGATACGCACTGTCTTGGTGCGTGCCAGAAGGCTGCAGGCCGGCCGTGCCGCTCGCCAATGCACACGGCGCATAGGAGGAGAACGAAGAAATGACGTTCAAAGTGCATCAGCGAAGATCAGCATCGGTAGCCGGAATGGCCCTGATGGATGGCAGGTACTGTTCCATGTATGGATAGGTGCAGGGTAACATGCGGGGCAACACTTGCCCAGCAGGTTCAGAACACAATGGCGTGCATCGCTCTTTCTCGATCCGGGGGACGCGCCTTGCCTGTTGCGGTTAGTGGGTCTCGACTGGACAACAATTGGGAAGCCCCGATAGACGCATTTGAAGATTCGGTTAGTGGCATTTCACTTTGACAACGTCGACATTGCAGCCTTTTGCCAATTATTGATACGCTCTGCAAATGGTACGATGAAGTGAGGAGCTTCTTCGAGGAGCTTCTCGAAGGACTAGAGGGGCCGCCAAGAACGCGACCGAGGCCCAGCCCATCGTCAAAGCATCGGGCCTGTCGCACTACCTTCAGTGTCTTCCATCCCCGTCGAAATAGCAGTCTAGTAGAACAAGCTGGACAAGCTTGGTGGTGCATATATGAACTGCTTGGTGCATCCAAGGCGAGTGGCGGCGACGTCGACATGGCCACCGGAGCGGACCGTGAGATAAGAAGGAAGTACGTTTCTGTATTGCCTAGACTTCCAGACAGACCGCGCCGAGACCAGAGCACTCTCGCCGAGACTTCCTTATCTCTTTCGTCTTCGCTGAGACCGGGGATGTCGCAATCCCGTTTCCAAGAATTACCAAGGACAACGTACAGCGACAAGAAGCTGGGGACGTCTGGGCGTCTTGGGAGGTCTCGGCTAGTGTCTGGGCGATGCGACGGCCTGGTATCTCGGGGAGATTCCCCTACTTTTCGACACTTTGAGAGATGTGTCGTACAGCAGTGGATATTGGCTTCGTGCGAAAGTAAAGCGGAGGAGGTTGGAAATGCATAGTGGGATATTGCCGTTACTCACGATGGAACAACTTGCTCGTAATGCTTTGTCGCGTTTTGCGCAAGTATCGCCTCGTAAACGACCCACACCGAGTCACATGCCCAGTCACCTGCCACTAGCGGTGATATTTTGTGGGTCTGGCACTGTGCGCCAAGAACGTCAAAGGCTGCACTGCCACGGTGCGAGGCGAGATCAGAACAAGCATTTCCAAAGCTTCACGTTGGACGTTGACAACTAAACCATCGACAGCCCTGACGATTCCGAACCACCGAACTCACAGACGGGACTTGTGGAACACCCCAGAAGCTTGGCGAAGAGGATGCTTTTAAGGCCCAAAATATCTCAAAATCTCAAAGTTTCAAAAGTTTCAAAAGTCTCAAAATTCCAAAACCCAAAGAAAGGGATAATTAATCTCTGGGAGCCAATGTACAAAGAGAAGCACGCCGTTATCATCACAACAACCACTGGATGATGAAGCTTGACAGGGCAGAGAAGGACAAGGCCATGGAACAGCTGTGTACCGCGGCTCATCATGCTCAAGGCCGGACAGCCAGCTAAGGTGCACGAACTGCACGCATCGACGGACGCGGCTTCACCGTGCTTCGGAACGCCAAGTTACGGCCAAGAATTTGCCACGCTCGCGCTAATCCATGGACGGCTGAGTCACCTGACTGGATCGACATTAAAGTTTTGCTATTTGGACGAATCAGGGGCGCGGGGACTGGGCGAGAGTCGTACGACAAGTGTCGAACAAGGTAGACAAAATGGACGAAGGGACCCAAAAATACCGACAAACAAGACGCTGGCCAACGGGAGGCGTCCCTTTGTGCGCGGGGTGTGTCGCCCTTGCTCTGCGCGTGTCTGCAGCGCCGAGACACCCCGGGAACAGTCCGGTGTGCGCCGACGAGACTCGACAAGGCTCGACAAGGCTCGGCGGGCGCTTGGAAGGCCCACCCTCCTTCGTATGACTACACACGGATGCGCTGTCGATGCACCATGGGGGGGCACCGTCTGTCGTGTGGCGACCGTTCTTTTGCAAACAGTCTTTGTAAAAGGATGTTGACGACAGTCGCTATCTTTGCTATTGTCGCCATTTTCTCTGCTTTCTCCATTTTCGTTCGGGTTGCACCCCTGTGGCGGAACCAACGGTGCTTGGCGAGGGGCGATGACGTGCCCCGATGGATGCTCGGCAAGCGTTTTGTGATGTATTTACTGTTTGGTTACGAAGAAGGTCGTTTTCGTTATCTCTCTCACGGATGGGGGGCGGGGATGACAGGACATATAAAGACGCGGCATTCGCCACGTCTTATGACATCTGGGAACCTTAATGCTTTTTTTTTCTTTACATTCTTCAAACATACAAACATCGTTTAAGAGTTTGGATATCCAGATCCTATTCTTATCATCACTCCTTTTGCTTTATCAAGCTATCCACTCGTTTTGTTCACTCCCTCTCAATGGAACACCGCGAGAACACTTGAATACGCGAAACGATCAAACGACCACACCGAACAACAACACAGAACCAACCACTTACACGACACTCTGCCACCTTATCATGCCTACACCATCGTTCACACAGCACCCATTCCTCCTCAGCGTCGAGGATGTCGCCAAACAACTGGAAACGGACGTCGACAAGGGCCTCACGGCCGTGCAGGTGAAGCAGCGCCAGGCGCACTATGGGCGCAACGAGCTCGAGGTCCAGGAGCCGACGCCCTGGTACTCGATCCTGATCAAGCAGTTTTGCAATGCCATGATTATTGTCCTCTTTATCATCCTGGGCGTGTCCTTTGGCATCGGCGACGTGATTGAGGGCGGCGTAGTGGCGGCCGTCATCGTCATCAACGTCACCATCGGCTTCTACCAGGAGTCGCGCGCCGAGAAGAAAATGGACGCGCTGCGCACGCTCTCGTCGCCCAGCGCCACCGTGGTCCGCGACGGCCACTCGACGGTCGTGCCCAATGCCGACGTCGTGCCCGGCGACGTCGTGCTGTTGCGCACGGGCGACACCGTGCCCGCGGACGCGCGCCTCTTTGAGTCGGTCAACCTCAGCTGCGACGAGCAGCTGATGACGGGCGAGTCGATGCCCGTCGACAAGGTGACGCACAACCGCATCCTGGACCCGACGTCGACGTCGGGCGCCGTGGCCACCGAGGCCGCGCGCGTGACCGACGGCGACCGCATCAACCTGGCCTTTGCGTCGACCAACGTCAGCAAGGGCCGCGGCCGCGGCATTGTCATTGCGACGGGCATGGACACGGCCGTGGGGCGCATTGCCGCGGCGTCGTCCGGCAAGCACAGCCGCAAGCCGGGGCGGTCGATGAACGTGCGCAAGTACGGCCCGCGGCAGGCGGCCCTGGGCAGCGCGCGGCGGCTCTGGGACCTGGTGCGCAAGCTCATCGGCCTCAAGGACGTGACGCCGCTGCAGCGCCGCCTCACGTACCTGGCGTACGCGCTGTTTGTGCTGGCCGTCGTGATTGCACTCATCGTCTTTGGCGTGCACAAGTTCGACCTCAACAGCGAGGTGGTGCTGTACGCGACGTCCACGGGCATCGCGCTCATCCCTGAGTCGCTGGCCATTGTGCTCATCATGACCATGGTGCAGGCCACGCGCGTGATGCGGCAGGCCAACGTGGTGGTGCGCGACCTGGCGGCGCTGGAGCTGCTGGGCGGCGTGACCAACATCTGCTCGGACAAGACGGGCACGCTGACGCAGGGCGCCATGATTGTCAAGAAGGCGTGGCTGCCGCGGCAGCGCGTGCTGACGCTGCACGGCTCGACGGACCCCAACGACCCGACGACGGGCACGGTCCAGGAAGACGACGCGACGAGGGCGGACACGAACACGAACAATGCAAACAACGCAAACTACGCAAACAACTCAAACAACACAAACGACGCAAACAACGAGCCGGGCGACGGCGCCGCGGCCGTGCGGATGACGCCGGGCCTGCGCACGTTTCTGCTGGCCAGCGCGCTCTGCAACGCGGCCACGGTGCGCCAGGACCCGGAGTCGGGCGAGTGGCAGGCGATTGGCGAGCCGACGGAGATTGCGCTGCAGGTGTTTGCGCAGCGGTTTGGCATGGGCAAGCGCGCGCTCGAGGCGGCCGGCTGGACGCAGCGCACCGAGTTCCCCTTTGACAGCACCATCAAGCGCATGAGCGTCGTCTACGACGCGCCCGCGGACGTTCCGGCCACGGGCGACTTTGTGGGCGCGCAGAGCGCCCGCACCAACAGCATCGTGCTCACCAAGGGCGCCGTCGAGCGCATCCTCGAGCGCTGCACGTCGATGGCCCGCGACGACCAGGACGCCGAGGGCGAGGGCGAGTGCGAGCCCATGACGGACGCGCACAAGGAGACGATCCTGGCGCAGATGAACACATTTGCGCCGCTCGGCCTGCGGGTGCTGGCGATTGCGTACCGGCCATGGCACGGCCGCTTCCAGGACGAGGGCCATGGCGAAGGCGAGGGCCAGAGCGAGGGGGCGCAGGCCACCGACAAGGAGAGAAGGGACACGGCTGCGGCCACCGCGCGCGCCGACGCCGACGCCGAGCAGGACCTGCGCGCGCGCGTCGAGCAGGACCTCGTCTTCGTGGGCCTCGTGGGCATCTACGACCCGCCGCGCGTGGAGACGGCGCCGTCGATCCGCGAGTGCACGGACGCGGGCATCCACGTGCACATGCTGACGGGCGACCACCCGGCGACGGCCGAGGCGATTGCGCGCGAGGTGGGCATTCTGCCGGACGCGTCGGTGACGGGCACGCTGCCGGCGGACGTGGCGCGCTCGCTGGTGCTGCCGGCGACGGCCTTTGACGCACTGTCGGACGCGGCGCTGGACGCGCTGCCGCAGCTGCCGCGGGTGGTGGCGCGCTGCACGCCCGAGACCAAGACGCGCATGATTGACGCGCTGCGGCGCCGCCAGGCGTTCAGCGCCATGACGGGCGACGGCGTCAACGACGCGCCCAGCCTGCGCCGCGCCGACGTCGGCATTGCCATGGGCTCCGGCAGCGACGTGGCCAAGGGCGCGGCCGCGATTGTGCTGGCGGACGACCGCTTCAGCTCCATCGTGGCGGCCGTGCGCGAGGGCCGGCGCATGTTTGACAACATCCAAAAGTTTATGCTGCACCTGCTGACGTCCAACATTGCCGAGGTCATTGTGCTCATCATCGGCCTGTCCTTCCAGGACGCCGACGGCTTCTCCGTCTTCCCCGTCAGCGCGCTGCACATTTTGTGGATCAACATCTTCACGTCGGCCATGCCGGCCCTCGGCCTCGGCATGGAGAAGGCGTCCATCGAGGTCATGCACCGCCCGCCGCACGGCCGCGGCATCTTTACGCGGCAGCTCGCCTGGGACATGCTCATCTACGGCGTCGTCATGGGTGCCGTCTCGCTGCTGACCTTTGTCGCCGTCGTCTACGGCGTCAACGGCGGCGAGCTCGGCCACGAGTGCAACCGCGAGTGGTCCCCCAGCTGCCACGCCGTCTTCCGCGCCCGCGCCACCGTCTTCGTCCAACTCACCTACCTCATTCTGCTGTCCGCCTGGGAGTTCAAGGACATGCGCCGCTCGCTCTTCCGCCTCAACCCCGAGAACCCGCACCCCTTCCCCCTTAACGTGGCCACCGACCTCTGGGCCAACAAGTTCTTGTTCTTCTCCGTCGTCATCGGCCTCATCCCGCCCATCGTCCTGGTCTACGTCCCCGTCATTGGCGAGAGGGTCATGAAGCACCGGCCCATCACCTGGGAATGGGGCCTGGTGTTTTCCGGCATTGCCGTCTTCTTGCTGGCGGTCGAGGGCTGGAAGTACACCAAGCGCAGCATGGGCCTCTTTGACGAGACCATTGGCGCTGCGAGGCACGGCCGGCGCCGTGGGGGCGGCGCCAACGGCGGTTCAGTCGAGGCCGGCCGGCCGCCGCTGATGCAGAAGAGCGTGACGATGAGCACCATGCAGTAGTTGTGCAGACTACGAGCGTTGCGGTCATTCATCAATAGTTAGCGATATCTGACTTTGATTTTGATTTTGTTGTTATTTTCTTTTACTTTTCTTTTTATTCTCGCTGTTTCTTTTCTTTGATAGTTTTCCTTTGATATGATTCCCGTCTTAGAGGTCTACGGACCAAATTCCCAGCAAACGGGCGACGCAAGTTACCATACTTTTATTTTTTATTATCTAGTTTACAATACGAAGACGAATGACTTGAACAATCTTGAGCTCTCCTTTAAGTGCCTGACTTTGACGAGCCAATTCCTCCTCGAATGCGGCCGTTATCGCTGTAATCGCTGGCCAAGCCGGAGACGTCAACAGCGAATGCTTCGTCGTTTTTATGCACGTATAAAAACTTGATTTGGTGCCAATCGAGCCGCGTCTCAAGTTGACTACCCCGGAGTGGGAATCTGGTCAGCATCCGTGCCCATGATATCATAGTAATAGATGGACCAACAATAGCCATCGTATGGTTTCCCCTTTCCACTCACTTTCTTCATCACTCGCCAATTGAGCCGCAGTCTTTTGCCTGTACATGACTCGATGAAATCATGATCGCCGGCACTGCGAATACCATCTTCAGGTGGTCCATTGATGACCCGGCTTTCCATTCCCTTTCTGCACTGTTAATACTCCCTCGAAACGTTGAGTATCACCATGCACCGAATTATTCGGCGTCCGCTTGTGTTGGTGAGCTGTTATTACACCGATCCCTTTTTTATGTCTTCCTGCACGCGCTCGACTTTCTACTCCAGACGCAGGGCCCCAAGGCGTCGCTATTCAAACGCATCTCCTGGGAAGAGGTAGACATGGAGATGGGAATGTGTTTCATTCGCATCCTCGCATCGATGTCGTAATTGTCAGGATTATTCCCTTGGCTGCTTGATGTCACTGCTATCAAAATAGTGTCTCAACCAAAGGACGGCTTGTTGAGCAGGCAAAATGGTCGGAATGGCTACTTAGCCAGCCAATACATCCAATTGCCTACCCCGGCTCACCGTGTCCTTGGCTTTTAGAATCCCCTATTGCATGTTTATTGCTATAATGAAGTGTGCTATAGGTGACGTCGGAGACCAAGGTGCTTTCTGGCCATATTCACGAGAAGAGCATAAATGCTGTGACCATTCCCACGAGCCTCGGTGAAGAGATGCTATCGTGACTTTTTTGTACACCATATTAGATTTCACAGTTTTCATCCACGTCAATGTCTTTCTACTTGTCATAACGCGAGACTTCTGCCACCTCCTTTTCGTCTCCTGATTTGTGTGACCATGTCCTGCACCGTCCTTTCTCAGCCAACGCCGCTAACCACCGGCCCTATTGTTGTCGCTTGCAACGCTCCGGTGAAGGTCCCGGTGCCCATCCCTCTTCCGGCCAGCATCCCGGCCACCATCACGGCCCACACGCCGAATCCCGAGCCGCCGCTGGTGTCCGCCGTGGCCGCACAATATACGGGACGCCTGACTGTCCCTGCTCGGCCGGCCTTCAACTGGCGCAACACCGCCGATCGCCTGCGTGAAGGTCTGCACAGGCCGCTGCCGTTTGAGAGCGACAAGGTGCAGCGGTACCGGCCGTCGGTCTTTCACGAGATGGGGCTGGGCAGGGACGGTGAAAAAGGGTTCGACATGAACGACTTTGATATGGAAGACATGGACGACGTGGACGACATGGACGAGATACTGCCGCGAGCACGACGACCGCGGCCCGCGTCGCTCTTTTTGACCAACCTGCATGCGTTGCGGCTCGGGTTGGACGACGACAACCAGCCGGCGATGACCAGTCCCGTCGCATCGGCCCGGAAGCGCATGTCGTGGTCGCCCGCATCATCCACATCCGCGTCGACCTCCACGTCCACGTCGACCTCGCCAGGCCTGTCCGACCGCAAGCGGCCGTGGTATGCCAAGCTGGGCGGCAGCGGCAGCGGCGGCTTGCGACTGGCGCCGAAGCGTTCGATCTTGTTCTTGTCTGCGAGGGAGGATAAGTGACAATGGAGAATACGGTGCACGACAAAACGAGACAACAAAACGAGACATGACTAAAGATCTGTACTGTAAAAAGTAATAATGTATTTCATAGTGGCAAGACAAGCTAGAGAATATATGCACTGTGCAAAACAAAATGGAATGCAAACAAAGGGAATGAGCGTGTCGTTATGTACAAGAACTGCAATGAGCAGTCTGAGACGGTTGACTGGTACCGTCCTCGGACGGGATGTGTTTGGCCATTGTGTGTGTCTGGGCGACAGGGTCTCGTCGAGTTGAGATGGTGTGTAGACGGTGTGACGGAGTCTATGCTCGACGTCGTTGCCGGCAGAGAAGCAGGGACGATACAGATGTCGTCCGTGTCTCGCTGGCCTCGCTCTGCGCGGCACGTATTTGCCATGGGGCAGAGAGCGCGGCAAGGCCTGGCCGGATGCTGCATGTATTGTGCGGCGTACAAAAGTACAAGAGTACAAGAAGACTTGACGCAGTCCCTCCTCAAGTCGCCAGTGTACCCCACGCCCGCACTTGCCGCTGCTCAATGTTCTCGCCAAACTTGCGCTGCAGCCGGTGCAGGATGCGCTGCGCCTCGTCCGACTGCCCCACAAACGCCAGGTGCCGCACGGTGTCCAGGCCCATGGACACAATCCGGGCTGCGTGCGCCGGCCGCCGGCCCATCGGCGGCTCCGCCGGCATGCGGTGCCGCAGCACGCTGGTCAGCAGCGTGTCGTTGTCCAGCAGGGCCTGAGCGGGCGCGGGGCTGGGCTTGGTCGGGTGGCGCAGGTCGAGGTGGGCGCGCTCGATGAGGACGCTGGGCCGCGGGTCGCTGTCCATGATGCGGGCGAAGCCATCGTATAGGGCCGGGGAGGGGTCGGCGAGGTTCCAGGCTTTGAGGGTGGACATCCACGAGAGCTCGAACCAGGGCCAGACGATTGTGTTTTGGACGGCAGCGGCGGTGGAGGCGGTGGAGGCGGAGGAGGCGGTGGCGGCGGCGGGGAGGTCGGCGGCGGCCTGGCTCATCGTGCGGTAGGCGTCGTCGAGCGTGTCGGCGCCGCCGGCCTTGGCCTTGACGAGCGCGTCCAGCACGAACGCGGCGCTGCCGACGCGGTAGGCAGGCGCGTTGCGGGCGCGGACCTCGACCTGCGCGGGGCCGTCCTGGTTTTGCTGGAGCCGCGCAATCCACTGCCACACCACGGCCTCCATGGCCGGCTCGGCCGCCAGAAACTGCACGAGCACGCTGGTGAACTGCGTGTCGGCGACAAACGACAGGTCGCGCTCGAGCCCCGACGCCCGCAGCCACTGCAGCACGCGCAGCCCCGCGCCCGTGTCCGCCATGAACGTCTTGGCCAGCGCATGCGACGACTGCACGGCCTCGCGGCGCTTGGCCAGCAGACAGCCGGCCGCGCGCTTCGTGGTCATGAGGCCGCGGGCGACGGCCCAGTCGAAGATGTCCATGGGGTCGCGCTGGGCGGTCTCCGCATTGGTGGTGGACGGGTGAGCGAGCGCCGACGAGAGTGGGGCGGCGGCCGTCAGGATTCCCGGGGCGTTCGGGGTATTCGGGGCATTCGCTGCTGCCCCCGGCGCGGCCCTGGTGACGCTGGGCGGCAGATTCGGGCGGCTGGCGAGCTGGTCGTAGGTAAAGAGCGGGTTGGACAGGATGGCACGGAGATGGCGGTCGGTTGGGCGGTGGCGTGGCGACGACGACGGCGTGCCAATTGGCGTTGCTGCCGTGGGGGCGTCGGCGGCCCTGGTGGATGGCTGCGTCACTGTCTTCTTAGCGGCCGCCACGGCGGACTCGGCATGGTCGTCGCCCAGACCATGTTCGCGGTCGAGATGTTTGCGGAACGACGTCGTCAGCGTGTCGAGCAGCTTCTTGCGGCTCTTTTCGTTGAGCGGCAGGGGGTGGTGAATTTTGGGCAGCATGCCCTTGAGGGAGCTGTATGGCCTTGACGGAAGCATCGTGGATGGTGTGGGGGGTGCGCGTGCGCAGTGTCGTTGGCGACGATGGAAGCCAAGAGAGATGTGACGATATCATAGAACGAATGAGGACAAAATGGTCAGCAGGTTTGCCCTACCCCACAGTGGGCTGGGTGTGAACTGCACGTGACTATACACGTGCATGACCATGTGGGTCCAATGCCGTTAGCGCCCAGACCCCAGCGTTCAGTGTAAGTCGTAGCGGATACTGCTGGTGAACTCCGCATCGCGAGAAGGGTGCTTCGGTGGCGGCGATCGATACACGGAGGCGTGCATGTGTGGGCGGTATATAATTCCTTTTCCCCATGAACTGGAACGTGATACAAGCGTCACTCACCGGCATTATCCTGCATCGATCACATCCAACTGCCTCCCAACATGGCCCGTACCATTCCGCCCATCCACGAGGACGAGACCTTCTACCGTGTCATGACCTTCTTCAAGCGCCGCCCCGACATTACGGAGAAGCAATGCCACGACCACTGGCGCTTCGTGTACGGGCCGCTGGTCGTGCCGTGGGCCTTCAAGTTAGGCATTTCCCCGTGGACGCTGCAATGCAATTCATATTTAAGTCGTATCGCTACATGGCTTATGTTACAATCATGACTGTGCCGTCTACCCTCTCTCCAACAAATCATCCCAGTCCCAGGGATCTTGGTCTGACCATGTCCCTGCCGCAGGCAAGCCGCCAATGTTGCGGTGCGGTGGCTGTTCGTGTTGGGTTGGCTGTTGTGGAGGTTGCTGCTCGAGCTCCTTGACAGCCTCCAGGGAGACGACCGAGACACGGCCGTCCGCCTCAAACAACGACGACGGTGCATGTTGTGCCTGCGGGCCAGCGCCCGTACTCACAGTCGTGTCGGCCGTCGACAGGTCCGGCACGGATGGCACCGTGGACGCCGTCTCGTCGAGGTGGTGGAACACTGCGTGGTGCAAGTCCTGGTGCAAGCTCTGCTGCATGCACTGCTGCATGCTCTGCTGCGTGCTCTGCTGCGTGTCCTGCCGGGCATACGCCTGCGACGCCATGACCGTCTCGAACGCGGGTGGCGGTGGAGCCGACGTCTGTAGTGGCGTCGCCCTCCCCTTGCCTTTGACGGGCACTGGCGGCGGCGACTCGGTGCCGTCCATGCGCCGCTGGAACAGGAGAAGTGCGCGGTTGGTGCGGTCGTAGGGGTAGACGGCCGGCAGAAACGTGCGCGTCATGTCCTTGAGGGTGCGGCGCAGCGACTGCAGGTGGGCGACGGCCTCGATGGCGCCGTCCATCGGCAGCGTCTCAATGTACCAGGTCAGCGCCTCGGACGCCATGGCGGCCCACTGCACGCCGGTGCACTGCAGCGTGCGAATGTCTTCGCGCCGCCGGAACGTCTCAAACAGCTTGGCCATGCAAATGGACGCGTGGCCCAGCGTGGCCATGCTCGCGGCGGCGGCGTAGTCGCCCGAGGGATTGGGATTGTGCGCATGGGCGTGGTGCTGACCGTGCGACGCACGACGGGACGGCGATGGCATGTTGGGCGACGGCAGGGGGTAGCCGCTCGGCGAGCCGCGGGTTGTCCGAGGCGGAACGGTGCGGGTGCGGTGCAAAATGATCTTGGTGGCGTTGAAGTGCAGGTGCAGCACAAACAGAAAGTGGTAGCAGTCGTGGCCGGTGATGGGCCCTTGGCGCACGCGCTCCGACAGACTGGCGAACCACTGGTTGAGGCGGGCATCGAGGCTGGCCACGTCGGGCCGTTGGCTGTGCGCGTGGCGCTGGGCGGCATGCTGGTGATAGGCGTGCGGGAGCCCGCCGCCGTCATAGGGTGACTCCGCAGAGGAAGAAGAGGATGCAGCGGCGGCGGCGGCAGCGGCGGCGGCGGTAGCGGCAGCCTCGGCCTCCGCGGCAACGGCTGCCGCCGGGCGGTTCTGGAAAGGACTGCCGGCGCCGTACAGCTCGTCGGTCATCTCGCGCGCCAGCTCCATGAGGTCCATCAAGTCGTCGTTGACCTCGTCTTCGAAGCTCGGCGGCGCGCGCAGATCGTCTTCGCCGGGGCCCGCGACGCTGCTGGCGTCCGACGACGGCATCGTGCTGGACGAGCTGGGCAAACTGGACAAACTGGTGCCCCCGCCGGCAAACCGCCACGCCAGACGCGACAGCTGCAAGGTGCGGTTCTTGATGGTGAGTGGCCGGCGCAAAAACACGGCCCAGAACTGGTCGTGAACCGACGCGGCCCAGACGAGCCAGTGCCGGATGGCCGTCTCTTCGGCGGTCAGGGCACGGCTGCTCGAGGCCGCTCCCAGGTCGAGCCCCATCTCCAAGATGAGCTTGGACGCCAGGCACGAGTACATGTAGCCCGTCATCTGGTTGTCGAGGCTCGTCTCGACCTCGCACAGAATCAAGACCGTCTGGACCGTCGCGAGCGTCGGGCGCCCGACGTCGGTCTCGACGGCGCGGCGTGCCGCCGTCGCCAGCCGGTTCTCGCCGTCTGGACGCAGGAAGCGGTCTGTGACGTCCGGGCGCGTCGAGTAGCGCAGACCCGCCGCCAGCATGGCCAAGAAGAGCGCGCTGCGGTGCTTATGGCAGCAGTCTTTGCGGTGGACGGGGCCGCTGCTGGGGTCGTCGTAGACGCTGTCGTAGAAATCATTGTCCGCCGACTTTGGCAGGCTGCCGTTGCTGGTCTGGTGCAGCGTCATAAAGTCTTGTTGCGACACAAACTTCATCATCGTCTGGTAGCGGTGGAAGAAGAGGCCCAGCAGGTAGTCGACGAGCGGCGGCGACAGGCCCAGGTCGTCGCAACTGGCAGCGCGGGGCCGTACCGTAGGGAACGGCGCGGCGGCTACAGCTGCAGCAAACGTGGCCGCGACCGCAGCCGTGGTGGCAGCCGGTGCTGTTTGCTCAACGGTGGCGCGCGGCAAGGACATACTGTGGTCGTGGCCCTGACCGTGTTCATGACGTGGGGCGAGTATCTGTGCGTGCGAGGGCGCACAGGGTGGGGCTTGCGATGGATGCGACGGGGCGCGCTGGCGACCGCCGCCAGGAAGCAAGCTACTCGCACTCAGGTTCACCATGTGCGACGACGTATACGACGACGTGTACGACGGCGCGTACACCGTGTTGGGCATGTAAAAATTGTGGGTGGGCGGCGGTGGCATCGACGATGGCGGCACTTGCGACTTGGCCATGGTTGTGGTGATGTTGTTGTTGTTGTTGTTGTTGTTGTTGTTGTTGTTATTGTTGGCAACTGACAAAATCGTGCTGTGCGCGTCGATGTCAACGTCACTGGGCATGGCAATGACAGACGGCGGCGCCACGGATGCGCCGTCGTCCATCTCCAAGTCCATGTGCTCCCATGCGGAGAATTGTTGGACGTGTGGCGGTTGATTGTGACTGTGACTGTAACTGTGACTGCGGCGCTGGCCGTGGTTCAGCTGCTGCTGCCGCAACAGTGCGTGGTTGGTCGCCCGCGCTTCGGCCAGGGCCTCTTCGAGCAGCCGCACCTGCTTGGCCAGCGCTTCGGCCTGCGGCTTGTAGTGCCCGCGGTTGCGTTTGCCGTCGGACATTTCGCACGCGATGCCGCGCTGCTGGCACTGCGCGCACTCGCGCTGGCCCGGGATGCCGTCGCATTTAGAGCGCTTGCTGCGACAGTGGCTGCAGGCGACAACGGCGCGGATGCGTTTCTTCTGGGGGTGTTGTGACGTCGTCGACTCGGACTGTTGGGCCGGCTGTAGTGGCTGAACTGACGGCGGCATCGACGATGTCGTCGGTGACGTGCTGTGCTCGGACATGATCTTGTCCTGGGGTCTCGTCGGGAGTGCTATCCAGGTTGAAAGGTCGTGGATCATGAGATCATGCGATCATGAGATGTCGAGATAATGAACAAATTGTGCTCCTCACGCATTGGTAGTGAATGGTCAGATAGAGATAATTCACGATAAGAAGAGAACACGGCGTTATAAAAAGAAACATGACTGAAAACAGTAAAGATGGGGCAAACAATGCGGAGAAGACGTTGTGGAGATCCCATGTTGACTCGCTTCGTTTCATTCCTTCATTCTTCCTGTCTCTCTCAGTCACTCCTCCGTATCAACTCCGGCCTGCAGCAGCGTGGAGGATCTGCAGAGTCTGGAGACCACTTTGTAGTGCCATAGCATGCATGGGGCTCTCCGACCCATTGACCCACGGGCTCATGGCCATGAATTTAAGGGTTGTATGAGCTCACAGTCTCCTATTCCCCGTCTTGTCTCCCCACTGGCCGTCTTGGACGGCCGCTCATCGGATATGGTCTGCACCATCTCGCGGGCGTTGATACGTCCGTTGTCCGGTCTCCCCCGCGCCCTTCCAGTTTAGCGCCAAGCTAGCAGGAAGTTGACAACCGAGCCCGTCACGCCAACGTGCAAAACGACGACAAACAACCAAAAACGGGGTCAAGATCGGGGTGGAGGTGCGACCATGACAGGCCGTCGGGGTGTCGGGCTATGACAAGCGTTCAGTAGCAGAAACGAAAATGAGACGCGATAAAATACACGGAATAGATGAGTAATTGGCGGCTTGACAAATGCGGCGACCGACGCAGTTGATTTTGCAGCTAGGAGTATCGTCTTCTTTTGTGAGGGGAAAAAGACGGCAGAATGTGGACAATTTGGTGCCGGGAATTAAACTCAGATGGGCCCACACTTGTCGCCATTTACAAAGTATTGCCGATCTTGGAGTGCAGGTCGCATGTTGTGCAGACTACATAAGCAGATTTAGCGCACCGGCTGTCATCAATCATCCAATGACTTAGTCTCTTGTAGTATAGTGGTCAGTATACGGGCTTGTCACGCCCGGGACCCGGGTTCAATTCCCGGCGAGAGAGAATTTTTTGGTGTTTACTTCCCAGTTTTTTCGTGTTTTATTTTATTTTGAAGAATGCTATTTTATTTTATTTTTTAAGTTTGCTGTCATTTGTCCTCTCCTTTCTTCGTGTCTTAAAATTTACGGCTTTTTAAAAATACGACATGCTTGCAATGATTCCCGAGTCGATGGGCTAAAATAGTAAAACACTCAATAGTCAACTGATATCCTCTCGGAGCACCACTCATTTAATACGTGGGTGAGCTTTGATTGATGTCGTCGTACTTATGGATGTAGTTGACTTGAAACCATGGCCTAAGACTGCCCGGCGTCATGTTATGTCGCAACATGATGCGCAGAAGGCCAGTATCTTAACATAGTAAGAGACGGCCATTACGTACATTGCACACAGTAGCACCGGTGACCCCGCATAAGTATCACACACGACGCAAAATAAAGAGGCCGACGAGACGAACGGAAAAGAATGGTCTATAAGGATGGAGTTAAATGGACAAGACGCAGTAACACTTGTGTTGTTTGATCACGTTGTAGATTGCACTGTATGCCTGCTTGCGTTTTTTGTTTGTTTTGATGCTATCCCGTGCCGCACGGCAAAGGCACTATGTGCGTGTCCGTTTTCTGGTAATACAATGCCTGCAAAGGAAGTTTGCACATTGCACATCGACTCAGTACCCTTTGTTTGGTTTCTTGATTTGCTCCTCCAGTTCCAAGTCGCCGTTTACGATCCTGCCGGAGACAGCATGATCACAAGTAATTACCAGGTACGGGTCACTGGAACGATGCTGTCCTCTGACGTTTATGCACGCTGTGACACGGGTCTGTACATGGTTGGTGACTGTAACTTGTAACGGTTATGGGAATACGAGGACGATAACAGCGTCACGTCGTAACATCGTAACAGAAAAGTACGCACAAGCACATCTTGTGACGCTCTACAGCTACGTGCGTGGCATTGTTTCTCAAATGCTTGCGTGGCGTTGGACAGCTAGGCAGCAGAGCGGACAAGCGGATAGAAAAGAGACAGACGAATTTGTGGATGTTTGTGCTGACGGACTAACGGACATGACACGAGGCCAGCAGGCAAGGAGTTGTTGTTGTTGTTGTTGTTGTTGTGAGAGTTGAGAACAGGTACACGCACATGCATCACAAAGGCAACGACAAAACGAGAGTGGTACGCCAACAACAGTAAAAGGACACGGAGGACAGGCACCGAAATGAACCTTGTTTGCTGGTGTGTTTGTTGTTTTAACATCGGCGACCACTCTCTCTAGACCCTGAAACAGCACAAGGTATCACAATACATCACGAATCCAGGCACACTGGTACATTGGTACACATGTAAAGCCATCACGTCATCACATCCAACGGCCTTCTGTTGTCACTTAAGTGGAAGGTGGTAGTGGGCGAAACGGACACGCGGGCAAGGCAAGATATTCTCGAAAAGAACTGTCGTACGAGAGAATGACTGTTCATAATTGAGCTCAAATGACCTCGCACGCCACACCCTTGGCAGATGGGCACCGTGCAACCTTGACGTGTATAAAAGAAGGCCATGGGACCTGATAAAACAGACCTCTTCTTTTCCTTGTTTTGAACCCTTTTCTCTCCATTAACCGACCCAAAACACAATAGCAGTTTGTCCATCCCCAAGAGAATCACCCACAAAATACAACAACTCAAAACCCAGTAACCCAACTACCGTCACCATGACCGAGCACATCATTTGTACGTCTCGTTTGACTACGTTTGCCCATGAAGATGTCTGCTAACACGTTAGACTACTCCCCCTCCTTCTCCGAGGCCAGCCACAAGGCCACGTTTACGCGCGACCAGATCAATGCCGCCATCGGCCACGCGCTCGTCCTGCTCAAGGAGGGAAAGCAGATTGGCGAGGGCAACTTCCCCCACGCCTACAAGACGTACCCGCTGCCTGCGTCGGCCGGTAAGCACGCTCGCGGGCCCATCTTTGAGTTCCCCATCCTGCTGGACGGCAGCCCGTACAAGGGCCACCGCAACCCCGGCCCGGACCGCGTCGTGTTTGGGTCGGTGGCGACAGACTACGGATCGGCCGATTACGTGGGCATTGCCGGTGTGGGGCCGGATGGTGCGGGGGCGGCGACGACGACAAAGACGTCCTCCGCCGCGCCAGGCGGTACGTCCGGGTCGTAAACGCCGCATATTTTCCGGGACACGTCGGTGAACCCGGGCGAGGGACACCGCCTCCACCTCCACCACCACGGTCACGAACACGGCCATGACCACGGCCATGACCACGATGACGGCAACGAGGGCAAGACGGGGACGCCGCCGCTGACGCCGCCCGAGGAGCGGGAGCTGCTGGCCGAGGCGGATGTCAAGCTGCCGTTTTCGGATTAAGCAGGGAAGACGAAGACGCGGTACGGTGGATGAAAGACGACGCGATGTCGGTGCTTCCACACATGGCATGGCACGGTTCCTGGAGAATCGGCCATGGTAGACGGGGAGGACAGAAAAGGAAACTGGTGGCTGTCCGAGAAATCGATAGAGAGCCACGCCTAGCTAGGAAGCAAGACAAAATAGAAAAACGGATGATCACCAACAAAGGAAAGGCTGCTTGTGGGCCACTAGTACAAGGGCTTCCAATGGCCCACCGTGCGGTGAACAGCAGTGCTGCTCTCTGTAGTATTGAACGTCCCGCACACGTGGACATCCGAAGCATGGCTATGGCGTTGAGAGTACGCTTAAATTCGTGATAAATAAAGTCAAAGGGGTCCATTGTATTCGTGTCCAAGACAAGTCAGGACGGAGTAGCACGAATTACTCTGTTTGTCCTCGTTTGTTCACCAGGTGCCTCGAGTAATAATCGTGTTATGATTATGGGCTACCGATAAAGTAGAGCTGTCTTGACTAACCACACAATAGCTCACGGCCGCAGAGCGTCCAGCAGTGTAGTCCCGTGGAACTCTCCTCAATGGGTTATGGACTATTAAATATATCTAAATTCAGAGGCAACCATTAGTCATCTTCATTCTCTTAATCAAAAGCGTGTTAGCATGCTGAGGCATCAGTTGCCTCCGGTTGCATTTTCTCACCGGGAAAGGAAGGCACGACCGGATATTGGATCAAATCTAGGAAGGTGCCAGCTTGACTGGATTTTGGGGCGTTTAGGGACCCCCCAAACGAATCTTTTTTTTCACATTCACAATCCACAGTCTCATTCCATACCTTGAGCGCCGTCGCGTGTTTGTTGTACGAGGCCCAAACCCAGTTATTCCACGTTGGATGTTGGTACGTGTTCCCTCTTCACCGTAACTCAGCCCCTGCACAAGGTACCTGTACGTCTATGACCATCTGATATCCGTGATATCATCGGCCTCAGGTAGCTAATTGTTTGCGAAGACAGCAGGAATCCGTTCATCAAAATGATCATCTGCGTCAACTTCATTGGAAATCGCCTATCAACTGGGAACCCCGGGAAGATCCACCGTCAACGACAGCACGCGGCGAAGCAACCGTCGCCAGCAAGGACGATGGCAACAGCCTCACTGATGACGTCGTTCGAAAAAGATTCGCGGAGTTTCTAACAGCAAAGGGAGAAGAACTTCGGCCTCGTGGAGACGACGAAGATATTGAACTGCCAGCGTCTCAAAGATTGGCCCGGACTGCTCTCTTGGCATTCTGGAGGATCCCAGTATCCGAACCCCCGAACTCACTGTTGCATATATGCGATGCATCTTCCAGTTCCATAACCTGACAGGCACCCTGCAAGACAACATGCGGCTGTTTTACGCTGATATTTTTGACGTCCTAATTTACGAATCGACACTCTTACTAGGGGATGGTTGGGAAAGAGCCACCAAGCACGCGAGGTTGCCGACCGCGCGGCGCAGAGACGAGTTCCGACTTGGTACAACAACCGCTGCTTTCTTTCTGGCTCCATCGACCCCCAAGAGCGCACATCGTTCCCGTAAGGGCGAAACGTGGCGTTATCTCCGTCACTTTTGGCCCATGAAGGACGTTGAGGAGCTCGTCGTGGCTGGGGCCGAGAGCAGGAACATCCTCCCTTTGAATGCGCATGCGCATGTTATGTGGGAACGGTTCCGGGTCGCGCTGCGACCGATTCAGCACCCGATAGCGCCACCGGAACGAGGGATGTATGTGCAGCTGGTCTGGTTAAACCAGAAAGATGGCAACGACGGCACAAACAGCTGCTTTGTCGCAGACGATTGGAACTATGCCAAATACGGCGGCATCAGCGACTACCGCCGAGACCAGTATCCTCCCATTCGACATGGAGACGACTACGAACTCGTGTCCGTATTGCACTTGCTTTGGGCATCGACTTGCCGGAGACGGAGACGCACGCCCCCTAGGAACGAGATGCACATTCTCGTTTTAAGCACCAGGCGACGCAGACGACACAGACGAAGCAGGACAAAGCCGCGCTGGCACACAAAGAGCCGAGCAAACAAAAAGCACTTGCTCACGTCGCGGGCATTGCGCCGTTGGTTGAGGAGGCCGTCGAACGGGACAGTAGCCGATCGAAGACAGTGAGGTTGCGGCGGCTTCGGGCCAAAGTCCTGCGCACGCGGATATCCATTCTGGCATTGTTCGGCACCGTCGACAACTGAAAGCAAGCGCAGCCGGGGTTCGCAGAGCTGTGATTTTTGTCTTTGCCGGATCCCCCGTTCGGCTGGACGGCATCGCATGGCAAAGCCAAGAACAGGCACAACAGAAATGGCCCAACCCGGCATGGCGTGCGAGATTGTGGCGTGGGCTGCCCCGTTATTGGGGTGCCGTTGGTGCCTGCGGCGCTAGGGTGATGCATTGGAAATTGCCCCTGTTAGCGCCAACAGAGCGGGCAGGGGGAAGCACCGGCTGTGACGGCTGGGAAAGGTGACGCTGAGAATGACGAAGCTTTTGTTGCGCCCGTGTTTTCGCTGCGGGCGACACGATGTTGATTCCACAATGCGACATGTGGATAGAGCCGTCAATGGTCTTTGGAGGTCATTACAGCACACTGAGTTCGCACAGGGCAGGACAACGGTGTGGTTGAAGGAATGTTTTACGATCCGTGACAATCTAACATACGCCGAAATCAAAACAGAAGTCAATGGACTCCCCTTTCCTTGTCTGCATGCAATTCATTAGTTGCCGGACTCGTGCGGAGTACTTGCGTCAACATCTCCAGCCACTGTCGGCCTCTTGCTCCTTTGCCGCGCCGTCTCTGCAGCACAGACTTGCCTGTCTTGAACAGAGTTAAAATTACTCGACACCTCCAACCTCTCGTCACCCGGTTGGCCTCAGCGCACCTGTTGTGCATGTTTTCCGTTCTGCGCTTGAAGAGGCTCCGCCGAGGCCGTCGCTTTGCTTTGTTTTGGCGTTGCCTTTTCCCCCACCTGCATGGGTAGGTTAAAATGATACCCCTGATACTGTTCCCAAAATGACCATAGATGGTGTGGTCCATCGCGTGCTGATTGGTGTACCTGACAGACCATTGGCACACTCCATTTGGGTCGCGTCTCCTCGCCCTTCTCTTGTTCTCCTTTTTCTTTCTCCTTCACTCCCATCGTGAAGTCGGGTCCGGACACCCATCTCCTCTGTTCCTACGGCGGTGGTCTGTAGTTTGTGGTCTGCGGCTGTTCTACGGGGATGTCTAACGTAAAAAAAAAAACTGTTGTTTCCTTATTCAGCGCCTTCTCAGCTCAACTCGGCATCTGTGTTAACCACAATCATCTGTCCCCATACGACCCTTACCATTCAGCGCCGAATTTGTGCCTCCCTTGCGTCCTGTATGTCGTTGTTGCGATGCACATCTCCCGTCTTGCTGTCCCAAATCTTTGTTTGACCTGGCAAATTCCCTTCCATTTTTCCTTTCTCCAGTGCTGATCCCCACGTTTCTTTCCAGGAACACATGCCGTAAGGCAAAGCGAAGATCATGGCTAGACCACTCGACGCCTCGACGTGTCTACTCTGCCCCTGTCGTTGTCCCTCAGCAGAGTACGGAGGATGTCTTCTTGTCAAACCCCGACCCCTGCCACTGTCAAAACTTTATTGCACATCCACATTCACTCCAACGTCTACGCCCACTTTTACCCTGACAATAACCACCAGTCCGGCCTGAGTCCACCCACACTTTATTTTCACCCAACGAGAACCACACTACGCCGTACACAACATACACTCCGCTGCAATGCACGAGTAATGCTTTATTTGGTGGGTAAGTGTCCGTTGTTGGCTGTGTCCTCCCCTCTCCATACGACAGTGGTAACCCACCCGCCGTGGCCATTGTCCCAGTCCGAGTCGCAGCCATGTCGTGGTCGATGCCGTCGCGCTCGTTGCCGTTTCTGGCTCGCAGGCGTTTCCTAGAATGGACTGTTTGTCATAAAACATGGAGGGCAGACTATTGGCGGCGTATATTAGCATCGTGGGCGCCTCGTTTCTGCCCTTTTCGTACCTTTTTCTACTTTCCTGCTCTTCTGTTGTTTTCCAGCGCCACCTCTCACCTCGTTCTCTACCCATCCGCATCCTACCTCGTCCGAGGTCAGGCAGATCATTTGATCGTCCGTTCGTTCACTCCAACTGCTACGCTCATTCTTTGTTTCTCTTTCTTGTTTGTTTGTTCTTCTCTCTCCCACTATGCGCTACACCACCGCCTCGGTGGTGGCCTTCCTGGCGTCCGCCGCCACCACCGTCGCCCACAGCAAACCGCCCGTCGTCGTCTGGGTCACGAGCACCATCACCACCTGCCCCACGCCCCAGCTCACGCTCGCCTGCTCGGAAGTCGATACGGAGTCGGAGCTGCCCAGCAGCACGGCCGTGGTGTCAGCGCCGTCGTCACTGTCGTCGGCCGCATCCTCTGCCGGCAGCGGCGGCAACGGTGGTAACGGCCACGGCCACTCCCACTCCTCCTCCTCCTCGGTTGTTGTCATCTCGAGCTCGTCGGCCGTCTCTGTGTCCCAGTCGGCCTCGGCCTCGGTCTCGTCCTCCGCTTCGTCTGTCGTCGCCTCCGGTTCCTCTGGCGTCGCCGTCCCGTCCAGCAGCTCTGGCGCCGTGAGCTCGTCTTCGTCTTCGGGTCCCGTGTCTGCCTCCCAGTCGGCCTCGGGCTCCGCCGGCTCGTCTGCTTCTGCGTCTGCCTTCGCATCGGTCTCTGTCGGCTCGTCGTCTGCTTCCGCTTCAGGTAGCGCCTCTGCTTCCGTCTCTGGATCTGGCTCTGCTTCCGGCAGCGCCGCGTCTTCGTCTGCTTCCGCATCCGGATCGGCTTCTGCTTCTGCTTCCGTGTCAGGCTCGACTTCAGCTTCGGCTTCCGGCTCCAGTTCAGTGATCTCCAGCAGCGGTCCGGGAAGCTCCTCTGTCTCTGCTGCGGGAAGCGCCTCGTCCTCTGTATCTGCATCTGGCTCTGCATCTAGCTCTGCGTCTGCGTCTTCTTCGGTTTCCGTTTCTGGCTCGTCCTCCGCCGTCTTGGGCTCTGCTGCTTCCAGCGCTGCTTCTAGCTCTGCTTCCAGCGTCGCCTCCAGTGCCAGTGCCAGTGCCAGTGCCAGTGCCAGTGCCAGTGTCAGTGCCAGTGCCAGTGCCGGTTCGAGCTCCGGTTCTGTCTCTGCCTCTGCCTCTGCCTCTGGATCGGCGTCTAGCTCTGCTTCTTCCAGCTCTGCCGCCTCTAGCTCTGCTGCTTCCAGCTCTTCTGCCTCTGCTTCTGCCTCCAGCTCTGCTGCTACCAGCTCTGCTTCTTCTGCCTCCTCAGCTTCACCATCCGCCTCGTCCGCCTCCGCCTCGTCCGCCTCCGAGAGTGCGTCTTCCAGTGCGTCTGGCTCTTCCAGTGTGTCGAGTGCCAGTGGTTCTGCTTCCGGTTCAGCCTCCTCCTCGGCTTCGTCTGTGAGTGCATCTGGCTCGTCGGTGTCGGCATCTGAGTCGGCCTCTTCGGCCTCGTCTGCTTCGGCCTCTTCTGCCTCGGCCTCGTCCGCTTCGGTGTCGTCTCTCTCTGTCTCGTCAGCCAGCAGCTCTGCCTCTGTCTCGGCGTCGGCCTCTGCCAGCAGCTCCGCATCCGCTTCGTCCTCGGCATCGTCTAGTCTCATCTCCTCGTCTGCTTCCAGCGCCGTGTCGTCGGCTTCTTCGTCGGTGTCTTCTTCGGCCTCCCTCTCGTCGTCCATTTCCTCGTCGGTGTCCTCCTCGTCAGCCTCGTCGGTGTCCTCCTCGTCAGCCTCGTCTTCGGTCTCATCGTCCTCCTCGTCTGCGTCGCCTTCGTCGACCTGCTCGTCGTTCTACCTGGAACACATCAAGCACCAGGGCTTTGCCCCGTACGAGGGCAAGGACTATGTTGTGTTCCGCAACGTCAAGGACTTTGGCGCCGTCGGTGACGGCGTGACAGACGACACCGAGGCCATCAACAACGCCATTGCCGCGACGTCCAAGGCGACTGTTAGCGGGCGCTGCGAGCCCGGCTCGAGCTGCCAGTCGACGACGACACAGCCGGCGCTGGTGTACTTCCCGGCCGGAACGTACCTCGTGTCGTACCCGATTGTCGACTACTACTTTACACAGCTTGTGGGCAACCCCGACTGCCCGCCGACGATCAAGGTGGCCAGCACGTGGGCGAGCGTGGGCGAGACGCCGTATGCGGTGATTGACGGCAACCCCAACGAGCGATGGACGGCGGTCAACATCTTCTGGCGGCAGGTGCGCAACTTTGTGATTGACATGACGGACGCGCCGGCGGACCTGCCGCTGGCAGGCGTGCACTGGTCGACGGGGCAGGCGACGTCGCTGCAGAACATTGTGTTTGACATGTCGACGGCGAGCAACACGCAGCACCAGGGCGTGTGGTCCGAGGAGGGGTCGGGCGGGTTCCTCAGCGAGCTGACGTTCAACGGTGGCCTGTACGGCCTCAACTTTGGCAACCAGCAGTACACGATGCGCAAGCTGACGTTCAACGGCTGCCAGACGGCCGTGCGGCAGGTCTGGGACTGGTCGTGGACGTACCAGGGCCTGACGGTCAACAACTGCAAGGTCGGCCTCGACCTGTCGGCCGGCTACCCGTCCAACGTGGTGTCGGACGTCGTCATCGTGCTCGACTCGACGTTCAACAACGTCGAGACGGCCATCCTGTTCGCCAAGTCCAGCGGCACCATCTCGCCGGCGGCGGCCGGCGAGCTGATTGCCGAGAACGTCTGCTTCAACGGCGTGACCAACGCCATCAAGCAGGCGGCGGGCCCCGTCGTGCTGTCGGGCGCGCAGCACTCGATCGGCCTGCTGGGCTACGGCCACGGCTACGAGGGCACCAAGGCTGTGTCCAACCTGGGCAACGTGGGCTACAGCCGGCCCAAGACGCTGCTGAGCGGCTCCAACTTTTACACGTTTGACAAGCCGTCGTACGCGGGCCTGACGGCGGCCGACGTGCTGAGCGCGCGCACGCTGGGGGCGCTGGGCGACGGCTCGACGGACGACACGGTGGCGCTGCAGGCCGCCCTCGACCTGTCGGCATCGTCGGGCAAGCTGCTGTTCCTAGACTACGGCGTCTACGTCGTGACGTCGACGCTTGTCGTGCCCGCGGGCGCCCGCGTCACGGGCGAGTCGTACCCGGTGATCCTGTCGCACGGCGCCGCGTTTGCCGACATCAACCACCCCGTCCCCGTCGTGCAGGTGGGTGCGGCGGTCGGCGCGGTGGGCCACGTGGAGCTCAGCGACTTTATCGTGTCGACGCGCGGGGCGCAGGCGGGCGCCATCCTGATCCAGTGGAACCTGTCGGGCGCGGGCGGCGGCAAGTTTGCGACGATGTGGGACGTGCACACGCGCGTCGGCGGCTTCACGGGCTCGGAGCTCTCGCTGGCCAACTGCCCGCTCGACAAGTCGGTCACGGTGACGAGCAGCAACCTCAACACGAACTGCATTGCGGCGTTTATGAGCTTCTACGTGCCGGCCGGCGTCGAGTACGTGTACCTCGAGAACAACTGGTTCTGGGTGGCGGACCACGACGCGGACGACGCGGCGCTCACGCAGATTACCGTGTACGCGGGCCGCGGCATCCTGCTCGAGGGCGCCAACCTGCTGCTCTGGGGCGTCGCCGCCGAGCACCACACGCAGTACCAGTTCCACGTGCACAACGGCAACAACATTGTCATGGGCCTCATCCAGTCCGAGACGGCCTACTACCAGCCCAACCCGGGCGCGCTGCTGCCGTACGCGACCAACGCGGCGTACGGCGACCCCAAGCTGACGGCCAAGCAGTCCGGCTGGGGCGCCGTGTACTCGGGCACGACGGCCAACACGCTCGTCTACGGCGCCGGCCACTACTCCTTCTTCATCAACAACGACCAGTCCGGCTGCGAGCCCTACGGCTGCCAGACCACGCCCCTCGTCAGCATCCAGGACACGGCCAAGGTCACCATCTTTGGCCTCGTCACCACGGGCGTCACGTACATGGTCGACTACCTGGGCACGCCGGTGGCCGACGCGTCGGCATCGGCCAACTATGGCAACTTTATGGGCGTCGTGGGCGTGTTTTCGAGTGCCTTTTCGGCGTGAGCGTAGGCGGCGTGGACTCCTGTGTGTGTGTACATAATGTTCGGTGTGCCGTATCTCCTTTTCTTTTCTTCATAACATGTGTAGGCTGGTAATGTGATACTGACGTTGTCCATTGGATAGCAGTAGAATAGACAGAATTTTGACACCATCCATGCCAGCTCATGCCAATGCACACTCTCGTTATTTAGTTCCTTGGAGACAGAAATTATGTGCCTCTGACAATCATTGTGCAATTGTACAGATATGTCGGCAATGTGTAGTCGGTCTCTTGGTGGCTTCGCAACATAGGCGTCTTGTACCGACAACTGCGTCGCGCCGTTGACCTTGTGCGTCCACTATCGAGATCTTGGTCCGGACTGTTGCTACACGTAAATCTTGACGATATACAATGTGTTGCTGGCCGTCTGTGTCACTGTCGGAGGACTGTCGGGCTGGCGTTCAAATGCGATATCGTCGCAGGAGACCCAAAGAACATGATATGATGCGCGGGCATGTATGAGAAAGACGTCAAGTTCATACTATCAGACACAGCAGAGACAGCAGACGACAACATTGTTTTATTCTTGATTAGAAATGTAGGATTGTTCACCGCCCGAGTGTCAGCTTACGCCGTCCGGCAGAGTGTTCGTCTTCCATTCCTAGTGGGTATAGGTCACAGTGGTCCAGATTCCAGTGCCCGAGGTTTCCTTGGGGGTAAAACGGGGCCGGAGGACGATCTTTTCCATGTTTATAAGCATTTGCCTCAATCTTGAAGAACAATTCTACTACTGTTAGTACATTCGTACCGGCCGACAAATAAGGCAGGCACGGATAAGTCCGCCAGAGACTATCTCCGCCCAAGGCCCAACTTCGTCCGAACAGCGCTTTCTTCGCCGCAATTGACGGAACAGCGGCTGGTGACCCGCCCTCTGCGCTATCGTAGCTCGTCCCTGTGTCCTGTAGTTGTTTACTCGTCCTCCCGCTCGGGGCGTTACTCTTCAGGACGGCTTGGCAAATCCTTCCACGGGCCTTCTTGGCTCTTCTGCGCTCCTTCCTCTTTCGTCGTTTTTACCTCTTTTGTCATTATTTCCCTTTTCGTCGTCTTTGTCCCCGGTCTCCGGGCCCGTTCCTTCCTTTCACAACGTTCTCGGCCTTTGCTCCTTCGCATCCTCCGGTTCCCCAACTTACGTAAAATGCAGATCTCCTTCCCATCCTACCCCCCTCACCCCCCATTCCCCAATTGACATCGCGGGGTTCTCTCGGCGTTTTGACGCCACCAACGACAAGTGACTCAAGCGACTCTTGCCATTGACAGGGGCTGGACACGGCTAGACTCGCGACGCGCTCGACAACGCGGGCGACAGCTGCTATCGGACAAAAAAATAAAAAGGGCAGAGGTCGCCGCGATACCGCGCCCGCCTGCGCCATGAAGACCATTCGCATAGTTCGGCAGTCAGCGCAACGGTCTTTGAGTCACTTCTCCGCCAGAGCAACACTGACACAGCGATTCGTCCCCATTTCTCAAACGGTTCCCACAATGGCTGCCTCTGCCGCCCCTCCCTCCTCGGCGACCGGCGCCCGCGCCTACGGCACCACGCCGCGCATCAATGGTACCCGCCTCGTCGAGTCCATTCACTACACTTCCGAGACCTGGGGCGCCGCCCACCGCTACGGCGAGGACCACACCGAGACGGGCATGGCGCGCCTGTCGCTCGACGACGACGACGCGGCCGTGCGGCGCTGGCTGGCCAAGGAGGCCGAGGCGCTGGGGTGCACGGTGACGGTGGACCAAATCGGCAACATGTTTTTGGTGCGGGGGGGCGAGAACACGGACGTGCCGCCGACGTTTATGGGCTCGCACCTGGACACGCAGGCGACGGGCGGGCGGTACGACGGCATTCTGGGCGTGCTGGCCGGGCTGGAGGCGCTGCGGACGATCCACGAGCAGGGGGTCAAGACGAAGGGGCCCATTGGGCTGGTGAACTGGACAAAGTAAGAGACCGGACAGCGACGTCGCCAATCACCCGTTGTTATTTTTGCTTGCTCGCTAACCCACCCGCAGCGAAGAAGGCGCCCGGTTCCCGATGATCACAATGGCGTCGGGCGTCTGGGCCGGCGTGACGTCGCTCGAGGCGGCCTGGAACTGCAAAGAGACGCCGGCGGCGGCCGCACGCTACGGCCACAGCGACCCGGTGACGGTCAAGGAGGAGCTGCAGCGCATCGGCTTCCTGGGCACGACGCCGGCGACGCCGGCGGCCATGCCCATGGCCGCGCACTTTGAGCTGCACATTGAGCAGGGCCCGATCCTCGAGGCCGAAGACCGCCCCGTCGGCGTCGTCGAGGGCGCCCAGGGCTATGCCTGGTACGAGGTCACCGTCCGCGGCAAGGACGCCCACGCCGGCACGACGCCGCTGCACCGGCGCCGCGACGCGCTGCTGGCCGCCGCCCAGATGATTGTCGCCAGCAACGGCGTCGCGCACGCCGAGTCCGCGTCGACCGACAAGAAGGTGGGCGTCGTCACGGCCGGCGTCGTCAGCGCCCTGCCGGGCACGCCCAACACGATCCCGCACACGGCGTCCTTTACGCTCGACATCCGCCACCCGGAGCCCGCGCGCCTGCAGGCCATGGTGGCGGCGTGCAAAACCCAGTTCGCCGACATTGGCGCCAAGGGCGGCGTCAGCGTCGACTGGGCCTGCCTCTCCGACAACGCGCCCGCCGTCTTCCACCCCGACTGCGTGGCCGCCGTCGAGGCCGCCGCCGAGGAGGAGGTCGGCCAGCACACGACGGCGTCGGGCGCGACGATCACGGGCCACCGGCGCATGTGGAGCGGCGCCGGGCACGACAGCTGCAACGTCAACAAGCACTACCCGGCGGGCATGGTGTTTACGCGGACCAAGGACGGCCTGAGCCACACGCCGGTCGAGTACTGCAGCCCGGAGGACTGCATCAAGGGCGCGCAAGTGCTGCTGGGGGCCGTGCTCCGCTTCGACGCGAAGCGAGACATTTAGTGCTTTGTATAGAATGCATCAACTGTTTTTTATGATTTGTCCACAAACGAGTTCGGTTCGATTGTAATCATATAATACGTGCTGTGTCTGAGTAGACAAGGACACAACAACGACTGGTGTCCGAATAAAGCAAACGGGGAAACGGGCGGCATTGGTTGCATTCGTGGCGTTGACGTAGAGAGCGAGACTGTGTTGTAGGCATGCACTGGTGCCATGTCGCGACATGCGGTGACCGTTGCGTGCAATCAATCTAGACAAGCTCTCCTGTTAGTGTGAAATCATCCGGCCGGCACTGTCTAGCTTGCTTCGGCTGTGGGAGCCAATGCTAGTTCTTGTAACGGCGGCTGTTGCGACATGGATAAGCTGCCAGAGCTTTTGAAAACGCAGACTTTGCGGCGTACACCAAGTGCTACAAACAGTCCTGGTGCAGGTCGCATTCGTTGGGGGTCACAGTAGCATCTGCATGGCCTGGCAAATCACGTCTTCTTGGCGCGCCTTGGTGCCATCTCCACAGCTCGCATGATGCCATCTTCTGGGGCTCGCATCTCACACCTGGGACTCGCCCAGGCGGACAAATGAGAGCCAAAAGGTGCAGATGGGCGCCGATTGACTAGCATGTGCAGAGTGTCGAAGGAAGCGACGTCGCTGGTCTCTTCGTAGGTGTGTCGGGTCCAAGGTAATATATATATATATAATATAGTACGGCGATCGGTACGGCGTGCGCCCGCCAGGACGTCTCAGCCCAGTTCGTTCCCATACGACTCTCGTTTGACGTGCGGCAAAGACGACATCGTGCTTCATCATGGCCGACTACGAAAAAGAGACTGCGCTGGGCGGCGCCAACGTCGCGGCGCATGCCAAAACGGCCGCCATGTCCCAGGCCGACGAGACGGGCTTCGAAGACAGCCTCACGACACCGACGTCGACGGACCTGCCCTCGTACGCGGCCATTCCAGACATTAGCGCCCAAGAAGAACGCGCATTTGTGCGTACAAAGAGCGAGACCAACCAGAAGCAGACCATGAAAGTCTCGCATTGCTGACGGAAACAGGTGTGGCGACTCGACCTTGGTCTTCTTGTGGTCGGCTTCCTGGGATACACGTTCAAGTACCTCGACCAGACCAACATTGTGCGTACTGCGGCCCAGATACGGATCCTCCCACGACCTTTCGCTGACTGTGCATTCAGAGCAACGCTTATGTGTCCGGCATGCAGACCGAGCTGAACCTCGTCGGCAACGAATACAATTACTTTACGACGTACTTTAAGTAAGTCGGCTGTCCTTCCACCACTATCGTTCATCGCTTACGAGCATCACCTAACATCGGCAGCATCGGCTACATGGTCATGCTCTATCCGTCATGCATCATCGTCTCCCACTTTGGACCGCACCGATGGCTGCCCGCGTGCGAAGTGATCTGGGGTGTTTTGACGTGCTGTCTGTCCCTGGCCAACTCGTACAAGACGGTACGCGAGTCCCAGTGTGTGACACGACAGGAAACACAACGGCTGACGGCATGTCCCAGGTGTACGGCCTCCGCTTCCTCATCGGCCTGTTTGAGGGCAGTGCCTGGCCAGGCTACATTACCATCATCAGGTCGGCGGTCCACTTCCCCTCCCCCCGTTCCCAACGGCCTCGCGTCACAGCATTCCTCCACGACGAGATGGGTGACGGGTCCAGCTAACACGCACAGCCAGTGGTACCTGCCAGACGAGATTGCGCTGCGCATGAGCATCTACAACGTCGCCCAGCCGACCGGGGCCATGCTCTCGGGGGCCTTGCAGGGCGCGCTGTCGACGAACCTTGACGGCGCCCTCGGCCGGTCTGGCTGGCGCTGGGCGTTTATCATTAACGTGCGTGACGGCAACATGTTGGGCGCTGGAAAACGACTCCGAGGGCATGTGATTGCATCGTTCTAGTAACAATTTACTAACACCTCCCCCAGGGCGTCTGTACGATTGTTGTCGCGCTGGCAGCCTTTGTCTTCCTCCCTGGTTATGTATGTTGAGACACGGTCGTTGTCTATGCAAAGACACAGAGAAGACTTGCCCTGCTGACAGAAACAACACAGCCCGAGCGCCCCAATCCGCTGTCTAAATTTTACATGAAGCCTCGCCACATCGGTACGTTGGCTTGCATTACCCCTGTTACTTGCTCCCTGCTCCACGGGCTCGCTGTTGACAGTCATTAGAAATTGCTCTGGCACGCGCGCGCCGCGTCCGCCGACGGGAGCAGAGGGGCATCACATTCAAGAGCTTTGTGCGCTGCTTTTCCTTTTGGCAGCTGTGGCTGTTTGCCAGTAGGTGTTCTTTTTTATTTTTTTTTATTTTTTATTGTCCGCCTTCCCCTCCCCACTCCCTGTCGATACGGTCCGTAAACTCATCACTGACCCGGCAGTCGCCTGGCCGATCGGATCCAACACGACGCCGTCCAACTACTTTAATCTGTGGTTGAAGTCGCTAAAAAACGCCAATGGCACGACGAAATAGTGAGTGCATAGAATCGGACCTCGATATATTGTTTGAAGACCCATTCTTACATCGCAGCTCCGTTGCCATGCTCAACTACTTGCCCATCATCGGACAGGCTATCCAGTTTGTCGCCGAGATCTTGTTCAACGGTTTTAGTGACTACTTTGGTGTCCGTCTGCCGTTTCTCTTGCTGCACTCTGTACGTCTCCGTGGTCCATTCCTTACCATTCCTTTCCTTTCCTCTCTAACTCGGCAGTAGGGCATCAACATCATCTCGCTCATCATCCTCATTGTCCGGCCCGCCAACAACGGTGCCTACATGGCCGGCTGGTATCTCAACTTTGTCGGAGGGTGAGTGAAGATGCGACCCATGTTTATAAATACTGCGACTGTAGACACATCAACTCACACTCTCTCCCCCTTCCAGTGTCTCCACCATGCTGCTCTGCTCCTGGGCCGCCACGCACCTTCAAGACGAGCCCGAGGTGCGCACCGTGCTGTTTGCCAGCGGCACCATCCTCGCGTACCTGCTGAGCGCCTTTGTGCCGCTGGCCGCCTTTCCGGCCAGCCAGGCGCCCAACTGGCATATTGGCTCCAAGCTGTATCTGGGCTTCGCCGTGCTGTCGGCCGTCATCTTTGTGGCCATCCACTTTGCGTTTCGCTACGACAGGTGGGCCGAAAAGAAGAGAACAAGACAGCCCGTGGCCGACGATGCCGAGCACCAGCAACCGCTGCCGTTGAGCTCGTGACGAAGATATACAGCGAAATCTGCAGGTGGCTCGAATAGGCCATCGCTAGGAAGGCTGAGGTTCCTCGGACCGCACTGTACTGCTGCCCAATCCCGTACGCATCTTCTGTCGTGTCCCCCTATCAAATGTCGAATCAGTGTCTCTGTTCTTTTCAAGTTCTTAAACGGTGTTCTCAAGCGACTCCTTGTTTCAGTCCGTTCATGTCTTCTTATACATTCTGAATCTATATCTATTCACGACGCCCAGAATATAACCTTGTATTCAACTTCCTTGGTATGTACAGCCAGATATACAATATACGCACCCCGCCCCTCTGCCCCCACTTCTCTCTCTTGCCTCACGCGTTTACCATGGCCAGGTAGTCCAGGCCAGGCTCCTGCGCCGCCGGCTGAACGCCACTGTTGCCGGGCGCCTGGACTGTGCTCGCTTTGTATGTCGCCGTCAGCTCCTCGGCCTCGGCCTGGGTCATGACGATGGCCGGCGTCTGCCCGGGCCGCAGGATGGCCGTCATGTCCTGGGCCCACTCCCACGGCGCCGACGACCCGCCGGGTTCGCTGTCAAAGTACTCCCAGCCCATGACGCCGCCGAGCGGCGAGCCGGTGCCGTAGTGGGCGCGCAGGGCCGCCACTGTCGTCTTGAGCGTGCCCGGCGCGACGTAGTCGCCGCCCTCGGCGGGCGACGTGATTTGGCCCAGGAGCACGTTCTGGGGGGTGAAGACGCCGTTGTTGGTGGCGATGGCCTCGTAGTCGTCGGGCGTCGCCAGGCTGCCGAAGCCGTTGTAGAACTGCGCATTGTAAAAGGCGATGCGCCCCGCCGGCGACGCCGCGATGGTGCTGGCCAGCGCCGCGTAGCTGAACCCGCTGAGGTTGGGCCCGCCGCCGCCCGGCAGCAGGGCCGACGCGACGGGCGCCAGCGTGACCTCGAAGCGGTCGCCAAAGTCGTGGGCGAGGCGCTCCACGAGCCGCGTGATGCCCGCCTGGCTCATGCTCTGCTCGACGTCCAGGTCCATGCCCTGCAGCCCGTACGCGGCGATGGCGTCGTGCAGCGGGCCGTACGCCGCCTCAAACGTCGCGCTGTCGGTGCTGTCGAGCGTGTCCGCCGCAAACGACCCGGCCGCCGCGCCGCCCACCATGCCCATGACGCGCACGCCCGCCGCCTGCAGCGTCTGCACCTCGCGCCACAGCGTCTGGAAGCGCGCGTCCGACGGCGGATAGTCGTTGAGGAGCAGCGCCGCGCCGTCGGCGCCGACGTGGAACGAGCAGACAATCAGGTGCGTCAGCGCAATGCCCTTTTCGGTGATGAGCGGCAGCAGCGAAATGGGCCGGCCGGACGCGTCGTGCGTGGTCTGGAAGTAGATGACGAGCCGCGGGAGGGTGTATGGGCTGTATGTGGTAGCAGCATCTCGGCGGGCCGGATTCTGGGCGACGTCGGACGGGGTGAAGGATGTCACCGGCGACGAGAAGCCGCCGTGGACCAGCAGAAGCAGCAAGGCCGTTAGGACGTGGACAAACGACATCATGGCTGGTGTCAATGCCGTCCAGAGAAGGTGTGCAGACGAAACTGTCTTCTCAGCATGAGACCAGAGACCAGGCCGTGGGCGGCAAGTCTGGCTTTTGAAGCCCAACAGCCTCGGCCGTTGTCGCCAGTTTATCACGACCACATGCCAGTCCTTGCGATCGACATGGACCCCATACCAACCACCCGCGGTCTAGGCCGCCGCCAAATTTCTCTGCGAGCTTTTCTTTCAAACATCTTCACTTAGCAGCCCTGTCAGGAGACGCGATACACTGAGACGCAAGGGATCATGCGTCGTTACAAAAGAAGAAACAAAATCAGAAGACGACGTCACGAACGAGGAAGGTTACTGTTTATGCGCATGGGGCTCCCGATGCGACCTTGACGAGCCTCCGATGCACCGTAGTCAAACGGCATGTGCTCATCTGGGTCAGACCAGATGTCATCTCGGCCATTCCATGCTCTTTATCCCCCTTTTATCCCTCCGATTTGATTGTTGCATTGCGTCCGACGATGTGTCTGCAAGGGCCGTTGATGCAGCCAAAACGGGCAGGAGCTTATCAACGGTGCCATCCCTTTGGCCGTGATGATCATCTGCCGCGTCGAAAATAGGGGCATGTCGCCAGATAACGGTCTTGGCAGCCTGACGGACGATCCTCTTCCTTTTCGGTCGACGCGACTGACTCGCCATGTCTCGGTGTCGATTGGTGAAGGATTGTTGCCATTTGCTGGTCATTCGGGTCATCGTCACAGCAGACATTGCTAGCTATTGGACAGGAACTCCTCTGACTCTGTAACAACTTTCAGAAAGGATGTCTCAAATGCTACGGGGCTGAAGAAGTCAATCAAAATTATACAAGTCAAATTTGGATAGGCCTACCTAACGCCTTTTGTACGGCTAGAATTAAACAATCCTCACAACATTGCGCTGACACATACCGTTCGCCATTGTTAAGTCGGTCGCAATACAAACCACAATAAAACAACTACCAGACGAGGAAATGAACGCCCACAACGCCAGTGAAAGCACAGCTGAAAGAAAATTGAAGTCGAATGGTCCATCATCGGCAAGCCCATAACATTGAAATAAACAGGACCATGCGCGGAACGAAGACCAGAACCAGACCTGTCGTCAACGTCGTAGCGGACTCACGCTGCCACCGCTGCTGCTGTGCGACGACCGCACTTTGGGCGAATGCTGGCCGCTGTGCGACGCGTGCGACGGATGACGGCTGCCCGGCGCTGCGCCCGTGCCCGCGGTGCTGATGTTGCGGTGCGCCGTCATCTCCGGGCCGAGGCTGAGGCCGGGGCTGCGGCTGCGGCCCATGCGGCTGCCGTGGCCCGGCGCCCGTGCCGCGTAGTAGCCAGGGCCGTCGCCGCGGTACGGCGTGCCGCCTCGTGACGCACCGGCGGCGGGGCCAACAGCGGCCCCGGCCCTCTTGGACTGCCGTGCGCGGCGGATCTCGCTGATGACGGCCACGACGAACCAGAAGAACCAGACGATGACGGCGACGACAATGTAGGCGACGACCAAGGTGCGGCGCGCGTTGGCCAGCCGCAGGCCCAGGCCGCCGTTGACGATGCCGACGGTGATGCCGATGCGGCCGTTCCAGAGGTGCATGTAGGACCAGAAGGTGCGGCGGCCGAGCTGCTTGAACTTGGCGTGGTGGACGAAGCCGAGGATGGGCTGGAAAAAGAGGGTGGCGAGGGTGACGATGCCCATGATGGGGTGGATGTTTGTGCTGGGGTTGGCGAGCTAGGAGCGACGGTGTCAGCGAGTGCGCCCGGCAGTCACCAGATGACAAGAGAAAACGAGTGAAGCGAAGAGAATCAAATGCGAGCGAAGCGAGGACAACAAAAAACAGCGAGCGTAGCGCGGACAAAAAGAGCGAGGACAACAAGAGCGAGACACAACTTACAAGGGACGCGCCCGTAAAGGGAATGGTGACCGTCTTGACGAGGTAGATGCCGAGGGCGGCGGCGGCGACAAACAGCAGGAACGCCAGCATCTGGAAGACGCCGTGGGCCCAGATGGCGAAGCGGCCGGGGACGACACGCATGAGGATGGAGCCCACGGGGAAGAGGACGACGATGGAGAGTGACGCCAGGATGCCGTGGATGGTGCGGTAGTGGATGGCCTCGCGGAGATTGATACCAAAGAGGCCCGGGAACCCGTTGCCGTTTGCGTTGCCGTTGCCGTTGCCATTGCCGTTGCCGCCAAACGGGCCATTGCTACCAAACGGACCATTGCCACCAAACGGGCCGTAGTGCTGCTGCAGATCGATGGGGCTGTCGGCATCAGCGGTAGCCGTGGCGACGGCGGCCGTGGCGACAGCAAGGAGGGAGGCCACGAGGGCCCATCGTGACCGTGTGGCAAGAGACATGATGTGGTGTTGAGGCGCCGGTTGTGTTGTCGCGGATCCGTCAGGGACAGTCGGGAAGAGCAAGTTGAAATAGAGTCACACGACGAGAAAAGGGGCACAGATAGCAAGACGACAAGCCAAGAAGCGTCTCCAAGACAGAGGGAGGTCTGGGACTACTATATAAATCCCAGTCCACGCAAGTCCCTTTTTATGGAAGGCTGTCAAGGAGGGGCGGGACTGAGAAAGATGAAAAAAGATATGTATGTCCTGAGAAGGGGATGATGATGCGCGATATGGAGTACCGAGAGAGGCTCGAGGGTGTACTATGGGATGAGCAAGGAAAGTGGACGTCTCGTCGGTCTAGTCTTGTGAGTACGTAAAAAGAACAGGGCTCCGTGCTATTTGTGAAGATCGTCACAGGGATACCATGTGAGGCATGAATGTATGCAATAACAGACGGATGTTGGTGGAGGGGGCAACTATGAAGGAGAGAAGCAGCGGCAGCGAAAATGCGATATGAGGAGGGCAGGATGGAAGAGACGCCGGCCGTTGAACAGACGGGGGACATGGGCAGCGGAACGTGCCTCCCCACCTGCGCCATTGATGTGATTTTGATGTGATTTTTTATGTGATTCTCCAATTTTGTTAATATAAACGGAGGCTGCAAAAGCGGCGCAGGGACGGAGAAAACAGAAAAAGGGACATGGGTAAAAGCAATATAAAGAGGGTTCGCCTTTTGCTTGGCCCGCGGTTTGTCGAGCGGGACGGGAGAGCAGAAAAGTGACGTGTTTCTGTAGAGCGGCTTTGCAGACGGAGACGATGCGCAGGCCGTAGTATGCCCCATGAGGTAAGACACTGAATGACAGTATGTTTCCTGCGTACTGCCGGAGCTCAAATTGGGGAACTCCCAGAACTGGATGCAGCTCAATTGCCAGCGATCCACGGTGTGGCAACACTTGGGTCGGTCTTTGTCCGCTCTCGATTGGTCCTGGCAAGGTCCTATTACCGGCTATGCGATGAGAAATGCATATATTCTCGGTAGGTTTGCCGAGCACGATATTGGTTGTATGCCATACCGGTCACTCTTTTCCTCGCGACTTTGTTTCTTCACTGCTCAGTAACGCTGACGTCCTTTGCTCTGCTCCTGGCCTAGGTCCTCCAGCCAAGAGCTGCAGTGCGACACATGCACGACTCGAAACGCGTCAGCTTTGAGGGTGCTTGTTCTGAGTCTGTTGAGTCATTTGCAAAGATCATCGTGTGACGTATCGGTAGGAATCAAAAAAAAAAAAAAAAAAGAAAAAAAAAAGAAAAAAAGACACTCCTTCTTTGGCAGACATTCAAAATGAACCGCATGCCGAATATCAAAATTTTACGTCGACCTTCCGACTTTCCAGGCGTTTGGGCGTGATAAGATGGCAAAGCAATAAAATACATCAATTAAATGGGCGGAGTCTTCGTCATGAGCAGTTGATTTGTGGAAACAGAAAACATGATGCACAGCAGACGCCGTCAGCACATCGTTCCTCTTCCCCCCCATGCGGCATAAATGCACAAGGCATAAGGTGGTAAATGGGATTGTCTGTCGGAAAGGGAGAAAGACCGGCGGCGGAGGATGGCCATATCTGCGTCTGCTATTAATCTAGTGTCCAAAGTGCATTCTGCCGGCAAGTTGGTACCAATCACCGACTTCGCTCTGGGGCCCTCTTGGGCTGATGGGGGCCCCTGCATGAGCTTCAGTGCTTGGAAACATGCAAATCCAACAACGTCGTCCCGTTCGGGCACAGGAGGCAATCGATCGGTGCCGGATCTGACGCGTTCGTACCCGGGGCGCCGTCATACAAGAGAAGAATCTGACGTAATAATTGGTTTCTGGGGACTTTCAATGAGCCTTCAAGGAGTGTAATTTTTAGGTTTTGTTTTACAAATTTTAATTGGCGTTATTACCTATCTATAGTGGTAAATGGTGTATATGAATAAATGCAAACGAGACGCTTTCAATGCCAAGACACAAAGATACAAAGACACAACGACACAAAGACAAAATCAACTCAAACACCTCCACGTATGGTATCATACACGCATTGCCACGCTTCACGGCTCAACGGACACGTCCAGACGCGTGTCGCAAGCAACGACGCTTTTGTCGATCAATTTGCCACGGGCTGCTGCAGCGTCGGGGCAGGACCATTGGCAGCGGGTGTGCGGCCCTTTTCCGGGTCCGTCTCGCTGCCACTACCGCTACCGCTGCCGTTGTCGACCTCGGCCTCGTCGTCGTCGCCGCCGTAGGCGTACTTGGAGCGCTTGCGGATGCGCGCGCCGTAGGTCCAGAACAAAAAGGGGATGGCGCAGCAGGCCAGGCTGAGAAAGGCCAGGAGCGACGAGGCCCACTGGTCGCCGAGGCGGTCGTACATTTGGCTGGTGAAGAGGACGACGCCGGCGCCCCAGAAGGAGCGGATGCACGTCTTGGCCGCCAAGGCCGAGGCGGCCTGGTGCTGGTACGAGTCGACGAGGTAGTTGTTGGCGGCGTTGTAGAGAAAAATAAAACCAAAGCCGACGGGGAAGCCGCCCAGGGCGGGGCCGGCCCAGGACAGGTCCGCGTAGGACGTCCAGGCAAAGATGAAGAGGCCAGCGGGGATGAACCAGCAGCTCAGCATCATGGGGACCAGGCGGGCCTCGGCGGGCGGGCGGCCGTTGTGGCGGCGGACGAGCGTCAGGTAGTGCCGGTTGACGAGCGGCGCGCAGACGGCGCTGAGGAGGACGCCGACGGCGACGGGGATGAACATGAGGCCGGTGGTGCCGGCGCTGTAGCCTTTGCCCTTTTGGTAGACGATGGGGAAGGCGACGAAGAACATGTAGAGCAGGCCGTACAGGACCGACATGTAGAGCGAGATGAGAAAGACAATGAGCTCGCCGAACAGCAGCTGCAGCGGGCGGACCAAGAAGATGCGCAGCCGCGCCGACAGGGGCCGCGTGTCGAGCTCCTGCTCCGTGACGTGGTCGGGCTCACCCGTGGCCGCGCGCCGCGTCCGGGCGCGCGCCCGGAGGATGGCCGGCGCGTAGGTCTCCGGGACGGTGAAGGTGATGAGGAGCCACACGAAGCCTGCCAAAATCAGCTGGATCCAGTACAGCCAGCGCCAGCCCTTGGCGTCCGACAGATAGCCGCCGACCAGGGGGCCGATGGCCGGGCCGATAAAGGGCGCGGCCGAGAAGGCGGCCATGGGCACGCCGCGCTCCTCGTTGCGCCACAGATCCGCCAGCGTGCCGCCCACGAGCGTCATGGGCGCCGAGAAGGCAATGCCGTCAATCAGGCGGCACGCCAGCAGGGTGCCAATGTTCGTCGCGACCGCGCACGGGATGATGAACACGACGGCCACCAGCAGCGTCGTCGCGTAGACGATGCGGCGGCCGTAGACTTCGGACAGCGGCGCGAACACGAGGGGGCCGACGCCGAAGCCGACGACAAACAGCGAGATGGACAGCAGCACGACCTCCTCGCTGGCGCCAAACGACGCCTGGACGCCGACAATGTCCGCCGTGATGACGCTGGACGCAAAGGCCACCACGAAGCAGGTAAACGCCACGACCATGGTGCAGTACCACTTCATCGCCTTGGACCAGTTCTTGGGGTTGCCCGGATCGTTGGGCTCAAACGTCACCAGGCGGTAGCGGCGCTCGTGCTCGGGCGGCTGCGGCTGGTTGGTGCGCTGGCGGCTGGCGATGGTGGCCACGCGGGCGATTGCGGGCGGCTCAACGGGACCGGGGATCTCGCCGCCGGGCACTTCGGTCTGGTACTCGGCAAAGTTGGCGCCGGCGCTCAGGGTGCGGTACGGCAGCGTGATGTCGAGGGCCGGGTCGCGGCGGCGCTCCTTGTCGGGGTTCTGTGCAGCGTCGTGGCTCGCCGTCGCTGTCGAGCCGGTGCTGGTGCTGTGGCGGAGGCCATGGTGCTGTTGGGCCGAGTAGGGATGGGAGATGCTGGTGTTGGCGTGGACGGCGTTCTCGAAGCAGACATCCTCCTCAGAGGGTAATGATGAAGCCATGGTGTTGTCACGTATGTGGTCGGGATATGGCTATCTATTGGTAATGCACCGAGTGAATATGGACGCACCTGACCTCTTCTCTGCATTTTCCTGAATTGGATATGGGCGCCCCGTTCTTATATACATATCGGCATGCCACCGAAACACAAACAACTAACCATCGAGAATAAACGCAAACACCCAATACCCATGGAAACCGTCGACTTACACCGACTTAGCGCCTTTGCCTCCCACTTCTCGCCAGTCGTGCTGTCGCGTTGAGGCGAAACGCAAACATTGAGTGCAAAAAGTGGGGCTTCACTTACATGGACATGGTGACAGGCCAATCAACCAACGGTCTGAGCCATAGGTCGAATGGATGAAAAATGTGCTAGAAAAGAGTGGGCCTTCCGGAATCGGAATCAGGTTCGATGTACTTATACACGCAAAATTACAGGGAAGGTACCTTGCCAGTCTCACGCAGATTTCTCGGTATTAGTGGCATAACATAACCGCTGAAACAGCAGATGCCCATTTCGCCTCTACTTCTTCGCGAAGGCGCGACCGCGATAGTGCCACCGTTTGGCTCGCCACAAAGCAAAAGATCCATCAGGCGAGGGCCAAGGTCCTCTCCAACGTCATGATGCTTCATTTACGTTGATGTTTGTTGTTAGTGACAGTGACAATCTGTACGATCGACATGGGCTCTGGCTGCGGTAGCAAAGGAAAGCAAAGAAAACAATGCGGATATTTGCATACTATGTAGTTGCCTGCCTCTCTTTCCATCACCAACGCTGGCCAAGACTTGTGTTACAAACGTAATCTCGTACGACGCTCGTCATGATCATAACTGCGCCGGATCCCGGGCTTTGTGGCTATCTCCAGAAAAAAAAAATAAAAAGAAAAAGAAAGGAAAGAAATGAGAAAAAAAAACAATAAACAACCACCGGATCCATCGCCAAGATGGAAGGACGGCGATCTAGCCGGGCGTGCGGGCGTGTACTT